GAATTAGTATAATATTTTACGCTTTATATATTGCATGGTAAGATACATGAGTGACTTAGTACCACATAGAGTTCCTATCAAGGTCTAAAATATCGGTAGTTCAAAAACATGAAAATTTCAATGAAAATATCGGAATAATATCGATATTTTAAACCTTGAACCAAAGAATACTTGGCGTCGAGGGATACCGGCAAGCGGGTTAGGGGAGGAAGTGAGGGAGAGATGGAGTGAATCAAAATGAAGTTTTAGGGACATAACAAAAAAATAATCCTTAAAGTACGGCGTTTAAATAGAAAAGCTAAAAAATATAAATAAAAAACAACAAAGATTCCATTCCAAAATACCAGCTCGCTGTACTTTTCTTCGCTTCTCCACCCAGTCACTTTCCCATTACATTTTCCTTCTCCCCAAACGCTACCCACTGACCCTCCAATTTCCACTATTTCCACTCCTCCTCCATTCTTTTCCCCAATCCAGTTCCACTATTTCCACTCGCCTCCCCTCCAATCAACCCCTCAGCGAGCCATTGCCTTCTGAACTTGCAATCTCATAATCCCGTGCTGAATTTGCAGATGATTCTGTGCTGCTCTCGCTCAAATTAAGATTTCCGAGCTCGATTCGGCCGACGAAATGCCTTCCGACGCCGACAGTGGGGTCCAGTACTCGTTCGCGATAGAGTACAACGGTCCTCCCATCAGTTACGATCTCCCGCGGGCGGTTCCGATTAACATCGATAGGATTCCGGTGGCGGCTGTGGTCGGAGGGGTTGCGCTGCCCGAGAAGCTGACCCTGCCGGTGGTCCAGCCGGTGATGGCGCCCGCAACTTTCTCGAAAGAGCTCAAGGCGTCTAAATCGACGGTCTCTCCGACTTCCGTTTTCGATCGGGGCAGCGAGGATTACACGAAGGAGTTGGAAGGTTCTGAATCGACGGTTTCGCCGACGTCGGTGATTGGATTTGAGGAGAGGGGTGAGGAGAGTGTGGTTGGGTGTGCGTTGTCCGGTGAATTGAGTAGCTCCGGCGCATCGGAGTTTTCGAACGGGTTGAATTACAGGTCGGGTGAGTTTTCCGATGTGATTGGTGGCGGGAAGGAGAGTGTGGACTTCAACAGCGATTCGAACCGGCCCGAACCGGAACAGGATTGGGCGTTCACGGAGTCCGTTTTGAGCTTGGACTATCCATCGTCTCGGGTTTCATCCAGTAAGGCTTTGGATTATGACGCACTGCGGCCGCCGGTGGTGACTTTTCGGGACATTGAATCGGACGATGGAGCTGATGAAGACGAGGCTGAAGTTGTGCAGGCAAAGCGGGAGCCTCAGAGCAAAGGGAAGAAGAAGGCGTGCTATAGATGTTTGAAGGGGACGAGGTTTACTGAGAAGGAGGTTTGCATTGTCTGTGATGCTAAGTATTGTAGTAGTTGTGTGCTTAGAGCAATGGGGTCGATGCCCGAAGGTCGAAAATGTGTGAGTTGCATTGGGTTTCCTATTGACGAGTCGAAAAGAGGGAGCTTGGGGAAGTGCTCTAGAATGCTCAAGCGGCTGTTGAATGATTTGGAGGTTAGACAGGTGATGAAAACCGAAAAGTTTTGTGAGGCGAATCAGCTGCCTTCGGACTATATTTGTGTGAATGGACAGCCTCTTTGTCCGGAGGAGCTGGTTCTATTACAAACCTGCCCAAATCCGCCGAAGAAATTAAAACCAGGGAACTATTGGTATGATAAAGTTTCTGGTCTTTGGGGAAAGGTGAATATTGTTTACTTAAATTTGTTTTGTTGGTTCTTGTTGTTTCGTCAATGTGCTAACACCTTCTGAAATTTCGTGTTGTTGAATTTTAACAGGAAGGACAGAAGCCTTCCCAGATAATTAGTCCCCATCTTAGTGTTGGGGGTCCCATCGAAGCAAATGCTAGCAATGGAAACACACAGGTTTATATAAATGGTCGGGAAATTACCAAAGTCGAGCTTCGGATGTTGCAGGTTGGATGGACTTTCTAGACATATGAATTGTTGTTGCAACTGGTTATTGTGCAGGGTTAATTTACACCTTCTGTTGAACATTGCAGTTGGCTGGGGTTCAATGTGCTGGTAAACCACACTTTTGGGTAAACGAGGACGGTTCATACCAAGAGGAGGGCCAGAAAAATACTAAAGGATACATTTGGGGCAAGGTATTGTTCTGAGATTACTTGCAATTTTCAGTTATGTTTTGGATGCTTGTTAGGATTTTGATGTATATTAAACTATTATTAATCACTTTTTCAGGCTGGAACAAAGCTTGTTTGTGCCGCCTTGTCATTACCAGTCCCTTCTAAATCTTCAACTCCTTGTGGAGAATCCCTGAACTATGTGGGTAGTAGAGTCGTCCCTGATTACATTGAGCAGAGAATACTTCAGAAGATTCTTTTAGTTGGATATAATGGTTCTGGAACAAGTACTATATTTAAACAGGTGATAGATTTAATCTGAAATTATTTGTTCTTATTCGTTCTATTCTGTTTGTGCGAAGATGCTTTTCTATAGAAAATTCCGAAGCTGAATAAATTATTGATGTTTCAAGTTTCAAGAGATAGATCATATCTCCACATCAACCTATTTGTAACGTATGTATGTAGGAATTAGGGGTCTGGATTCTAATCATAATGCTTTAATTTGTGGATGCTGTAATAGCAAAATCTTTGGTGGTGTACTAATAATTACATTTCTTGCTTGCTTCTCTATGTTTTAGTTTTTGTGTTGACCAAAAATGAGAAAACAAGTTCTAGGTCAAGCTTTCTGCCTTAAAGTTATATGCAGTTGATAACTTGATATTGGTCAAGCATACTTGCTAAAAATTGTATTTTGATCTCGATGGGATTCTGAATTGATTTATTGCATGCATGGCCATACATGTTATGTTATAAGCAATCATACTATAAAGGAATAGTAACTGCTTTGAATCAAGATAGCTTAACTAGGATGGACTTCTTAGCCAACAAGTTTGTCCCAAGTTTTCATTTCTAAGTCGTTTCTGGTATTTCAGAATATAATTTTTATTATCTGCCAAATATAAACCCTAACCATTCACATATGAATGTTCCAGGCAAAGATTCTATATAAAGCTGTCCCTTTCTTGGAGGATGAGCGTGAAAATATCAAATGTACAATACAGAGTAACGTGTATGGTTATCTTGGTATGCTTCTTGAGGGCCGTGAGCGTTTTGAAGAGGAATGTTTGGATGGGATGAGGAAGCAATGTTCGTCCAGTCAAACAGATGCCAACGGTATGAGTCTATAATTTTATAACTTTTTCATTTCTTCTTTGACTTGATACATGTGTGCATGTGCATGACCTCGGTTTATGTTGTTCAGATTGGGAAACTGAATTATATACAGTAACGGAACTAGATATCAATTTTTATAAGATATTTATATCCAAAACAAGTACAAAAGATATGTAGTAACTTCTTACACTTGAGTTTTCCTTTGCACTGATTGATTTGCAATGTTTATTATAATTACACTAGTCAGGTTGGTTAGTCTGCATCGTACTTGGAGAGGGTTGCATTCCGAATAACCATGTTAGAATTGATATATTGCTTATAGAATTTGTGTGCTGGTTAACAACAGGAAACAATGAGAAAACTCTTTACTCCATTGGCCCAAGGCTGAAAGCGTTCTCTGATTGGCTTCTCAAGACTATGGTGTCAGGCAATCTGGAAGCCATTTTTCCAGCGGCTACTCGTGAATATGCACCATTAGTTGAGGAATTGTGGAATGATTCAGCCATTCAGGTCACATACAAGCGGAGAAATGAATTGGAAATGCTACCTAGTGTTGCTACTTATTTCTTAGAGAGGGTAAGTCCTGTGACATCTGTGGTTAACTCTTGTAAATTGTTTGCATGATACTTATGCTGGTCGATAGTAATCATAGTATTATCTTTTGCTTAATCTAATGGACCTGGTCTTCGTTCCCTTTTCAGGCTGTTGACATATTAAGAATAGGCTACGAGCCCACAGATCTAGATATATTATATGCTGAAGGTGTCACTTCATCTAATGGGCTTGCTTGTGTGGACTTCTCATTTCCCAACGCAGAATCTGAAGACACCATCAATACTACTGACCAGCATGACTCTTTGCTTAGGTATGTTCCCCCGTTTATTGCACATTCAAATGGACCTGATCTGCTTAGTGCTTACTTAGCGTTTGTGTTTTATAAATATTAATCGTAACTGATAAAGCTCACGTGCGGATAGGTGTTTGTAAAAGTTTATGCAAGTAAATAGATTCCTTGTACTGTCGAACAAATTGAGTTGACGTCTACGTTCTTATTCTGTAATTTTCACTTCTACGGGTCGCTGAGATAATATTCCATTCTTTTTAATTAACCCTTCTTTTGTCTGATTGCTTCTTAGGTACCAACTTATTAGAGTAAATGCAAGAGGACTTGGAGAAAACTGCAAATGGTTGGAGATGTTTGAAGATGTTGGAATGGTCATCTTCTGCGTGTCCTTGAGCGACTATGATCAGTTCTCTGCTGATGGGAACGGGTCTTTCGATAACAAGATGTTGCTGGCCAGGACTTTCTTTGAAAACATCGTCACTCATCCTACCTTTGAACAGATGGACTTCCTCTTGATTCTAAACAAGTTTGATTTATTCGAGGATAAGGTGGAACGGGTACCGTTAAATCACTGTGAGTGGTTCGAAGATTTTCGTCCAGTTATTAGTCGTAATCGCTCGAGTAGCAACACGAGCAGCAACAACATTAACAGCAGCCCGTCATTGGGTCATTTAGGATCTCACTACATTGCAGCAAAGTTCAAGAGGCTTTATTCTTCTCTAACCGGGAAGAAATTGTACGTTTCCGTGGTGAAGGGACTGCGGCCCGATAGCGTCGATGCAGCTCTTAAATATTCAAGGGAGATTTTAAAATGGGATGAAGAGAGGGCCAACTTTAGCTTTGATTACTCGTTCTATAGCACTGAGGCAAGCAATTCTCATTGATGTCAAAACCGAAAAGGCCTGTAAATACAGTTATACGTTTGTGTGACATTGATTAATTCCACTGTATATATAATGGTTTGTATATGATCAATAGAAAGATCTTTGCCTTTCACCTGCCTTGCAGCTTCAACATTTTCAAGCGAGAAGAAAAAGAACTGAAATACGGATGCGATTTCGTTCTACTTTTCGCTCTTCCCCGCCCTACATCTAATACACAAATCGAAGTCGAACAATCCGTAACAAAATAGTTGCACTTGAGTTTCTGTGTATTCCCCGAAATTCTCCATACCACCACGGAAAAACCACCGACGGCCGAGAAATGAAAAAAACACAAGGTTCTACGACATACGGAATCTTCAGTCATCCACAAAACTGTATCGAATCTGTTCTTGCGCATTCAATAATATGTGTTTAGCAGCCCAACCCAATGTCACAATTTGCTCGGTCAACGCGTTCATATCGCCTTGTGCACGGCGCTTGCACTCCTCAACCAATTTAGACCACTCCTTTGGAGCCGAGTCTAATGCATCTCCGGCATCTACCATGGTCTCCCATTTATACTTGTTCATAAGAACGGCTTTGCGGATATAGCATGCCTACACGGCAAATTATCACACAAACGACAAAACATGAGGAGCCCCAGAAATCGTTTTAACGGTGCAAGCATCACACCAAGTTAATAATCATTCATAAGTTTTTTTTCCTTCAAGAAAAATTCATTTTACCTGCAACAAACCCATGATAACGTCCGCAGTTCCAGCTCCTTCCCGTAAACAAAGAAGGATGCCCGCCTAGAAATCATCAAGAGAAAGAAAAGATAACTAATAGAGTATGATACATAAGCACAGGACACCTTGGTTGAACACATATTAATAATTTAATAAACTTACTTGCTTTGTCCTTCGAATTCTTGTGTACAAGATCTCCATGGATATGAAGTAATAGTCGTCAGCACTTGTAGATTGCATTGCCATCATGGATAACTCAGGGATCTGATTCTTGGGATCCAGGTACCCTATTCTGATAGGCCATAATCCCTTGTCTGATTCAAACCTCAGTCATTTGGTTTAAGCTTATATGTGCTTATATAAAACACTAAACAAAGGGATAAGAAATGCATGTGAAAGATCTAACCTTTGCTCCGTAGGAAATCAATTCCTTCTTCTTTACTTACTTCTGCAGGCGCAGGAACATAACCTAACTCGATCCAATTATTTAGTACAATTTCAAGTCTATCCTGAACATGAGAAGTTGAGAACCATACAAAAATTAGATGATGAAATTACAGCATTTATCAGGAAATTTCACTTCCTTAGTCCTCTGAAAAAGGGTAAGATGCGTATACATCAGAATTGTTATCATAAGAAAACTTCACAGTGCGGGATGCTGAAGGAGAAAATGCTTACTCACCTTGGTTAATGTTTGTAAATGGACATGTTTAAGCCCTTGATATATTCCCAAAAGGTCTATGGCTGAGAAAATGGGGTATACGAGAAATGGTAAGACTGTTTGCAACCTGGCACGTAAATCACAAGTCAGAAAAGCATGCAAAGATAAAGAATCGACTATCATAATAGCGAAGACATCAAATATGAAGAAAAGTTAAGTAAACTAAAGATCATTAATTCCCGTATATATAGAAGTTCAATAGGAACCTTTGGTTGTTCTTGAACAGCATATTTAACAGCGCAGCAAGCAAAAGCCCAAGGTTATCAAAGCACACCGTTTGAATCTGAAAATCATCGCAACAGTTAAAATATGTTCTGTTTCAATTTTCAAGTACACTAAAGATAACTAATAGGGACTTATTTGTAGGAAATATCATAGTCTACCTGTGCCTTTGCAGAAACTTCACCAAGGTTATCCGCTATTGCAAAACTTCGATGAACAGCAGACTGCTTATACAGAGGAAGAACAACGGCACTCAAAATGGGAAGGCGCTAAAACCCAACCTCATAAAAGTAAGCAAGGAAACGTGTTTCAGTTCTTACACCAGTAGCTAGATAGCAAGCCAAACTTATTTGTTTTGCCATGTTGGCTAAGGATGCGAGAATCAAGAAGTATTGAGGAAATGCAGGTGTCAGCAACTCAACTCCAATGCTCAAAGTAAACAACACTGACGTTGAAAACCGAACTCTCTACAAATGAGAAAAAGACAAAATCAATGATGTATTTGTAGCTAATAAAATCACTCTAAAGCATAAGCACTCAATATCAACAGTACTTTGGTTTCAAACACCAAAATACCGATATAGACCCTAACTGCAACAACCTCAATTAAGGAAATTCCGTTCCATAACAGAAGTAGAAGCCTTACCTTCAAATTAGTATCAAAAGCAGATGCTAGACTAGCAGTGTAGATGCATCTACTCAGCCGTCCAAGTCCATCCTTCAAGATCCAATTAAGGGCAGCAGCTGCTGGAAGCGAACGAGAGAAGCCAATCCCAATAGCCCGAAACATTGCCTAAATCAGTGCATCCCCACGTATAACTAACCATATAAACGAAAATTCATTCATAAAATCCTTGATTCTATCTTCTAAGGATTATAATGCTCAACTATTTCACTTATTCTTTCTGTATAATAGTACTCCTTCTGTTGAGCTTGTCATATTTCATTCAAATTTCAATCAATTAATCGAAAAAACGAGGCGCTTTTATCACATAAGTTTGTACCTGAGTGGCAAGGACTTGTAGTGCCGAGCTGAAAACCCGATGCAAGAACTTCCATTTCACATAATCCATATAACTTCCACTAACTTGCTTAGGAATAAAGAAATCCCTAACAGCCAAACTACAGATTCTATACAATTTTCTGAACCCATCATCGAAATTGAAACTGAACGACGCCGCACCGCCATCTACTCCAACTAACTGCAAACAATTACCATCCCAGAAGTACCTAGAAACCCTACCTGACCTCCGAATCACCACCGGAAGGCGACCTGGCGTGGCGGGTGCGGGTTCTTTACCAAGGCTTTCTTCTGGTTCGTACCCAATTGAAGTTCTTAGAGAATTGGTAAAGGTCGGAGCTTTGAAGCAGGTTTTGAGCTTCTTGGGGACTGGTCTCTGAGCTGCGAATTGGGTTTCGTTGATTTTCCATGGAAGCTGAAACTGGTGGGAGCTGGAGGCCGTGTAGAAGGCAGATTGCATGAGAGTTGAACTGTGAAAAATTAGGGTTTCTAATGAATTGGTGCTAATTTTCGCGCCAAGTGATGGGGTGGTACGCTGGAGGAGGGTTTAAGGTTTTGGAGCTTAACAGAACCACTTAAATACTGATGACCGAGATAACGATGAGAAGTTGCACATTGCAAATTCCCTTTTCTTTCTTATTTTTTTCTTTTCATTATAAAAATAAGGTTTTTTATCACAATTGATTCTTAAAATTGACCACATCAATCATGATGGTCCTTGAAATTGAAAATCAATCAATGTAGTTCCTGAATTATAACCCACGAATCAATGTCGTCCTTCTGTTAGTGTTCCGTCGAAATTAACTTTCAAAAAGTGTTAAACAACCAATTTTTCATGATAAAATGACCAAAATAACCTTGTTACTTATAATTTTACTTACTACCTCTCTTTTCTTTTCTCCATCTTCACTTTTCTCTCCATTTTTTCTTGGATTTGGTGCTAAAACTAAAATAAAAACTAGGGGTGGAAAATTTTACCATAAACCGATTTATCAACCGAACCATACCGGTTGGCTCATAATGGTATGGTATAGTTTTGGCATTTTTTTCATAATTGGTTGGCATTTTACCGAACCAACAATTAATGGCATGACTTTGGTAATTGATTTTGTATGCCGGCGGTATGTCATACCTACCAATATATATATATATATATATATTTTTTTTCTTTTTCTATTTAGATATTTTAGGTATTTTTTACATGCTTGACTGTTGACTCCTTAGTTTTAGGGTTTAAAAAAATATATGTATATGTATATGATTCATGCTATAATAAATATAGAAAATATTGTTAACAAAATTGATAGCATGATGATTACTAATACTATATATATGATTTTGAATGTATATGCGTTGCTTATGTTTAGGATGATGGAGTCTAGCCAATCAATCGCTAGTGCACAACCACATAATGAAACCGAACAAGCACCCCAATCTGAAAATCAAAATGAGCCCATGGAACTGGAAGATAGCGAGGAAGAAGTGGAAACCACCGGTTGTGTCATTTACCAACCGAACCAGCCAATAATTTTGGCTAAACCAATTTTTGGCAACCGCAAGAAGACAGTTGGCTAGCAGTAATTGATTTTCAGTAATTATGTATGTGTGGCTGGTAGGTGGCACAAGGAATTTGGCACGGTTTGCCAACCGAACCCAGCCCTAATAAAAACAAAAAAAGTGGGAAATTTCAATTTTTTTTAAGATCAAGTAAAAAGAATTCTAACTGGGTTAGCTCCATTCTTTTTTTTTTCAAAGAAATTGGGTTAGCTCAAAAGCTATTGCCAAAGTCCACCTTTGATCATTTATCTTGTCAAAGAAATTGGTACCATCACCTGCCAAATTATTCATTTTCTTGTTTTTTATGTATGTGAAAAACTGAAAGTAATAAATGATAGTGTAACAATTGTTGTGTCCATAGAGCTATCAAATACAATGGAGAACATGGGAGCGATGCTTTCGTTTTGAGCAAAGCTATCAAATACAATGAACCTGTAACAATGTAAAATTGTGCAAAAAACCAAACCCGAATTATTCCTGACAATCTTCTAATTTAGTCGAATCTAACAGGTCTCATTGAATTTCGTGTAAAAAATCCCCAAATTTTTTTCAAACCCTAAGTCTTACAGTAGGAAAGAATTCCCAGACTATGGAGGAATGGGGAAGAGTGAGGAAAAGTAAAGGATTAGGTGGGACAAGTGAAAAAGTGGGATGGGAGGAATATGATTAGTAGGGTATTATTGTCATTTACCATGAAAAATTGGTTGTCTGATCCTTTTTAAAGTTAAATTGGACAGAACACTAACGGAATGACGACATTGATTCGCAGGGTTAAAATTCAGGGACTACATTGATCGATTTTCAATTTCAAGGACCATCATGATTGATGGGGTCAATTTCACAGACCATTTGTGATAAAAACCCTAAAAATAAATAAGGTAAATTACACAAAATTATCTCAACTATGGGTCGAATGACACTATTATACCTCATATTTTAAAAATGACAATGTTATACCTCATCTTACGAATTTGTTCTAATGTTCGACTTCTGTCAGTTTTTCTGTTAATTTCTTAAATGTTGATGTGGCTAAAAACGGGGCCCACTCACTAATCCAACTGGACTAAAAAATAATTAAATATTAAAAAATTTTAAAAAAAAATTTATATAAAAATGTGGGATCCACCTCTACAAACCCTTCCTCACCCATCCCCCCAACCTTCCTCCACCACCCTCTCTCTTTCCTCTCTCTCGGCAACCTACTGCAATTTCTTCCCCCATCTCTCTCTCTCTCTCTCTCTCTCTCTCTCTCTCTCTCTCTCTAAAATCCCCACAAGCCTAACCTAAGTGGATATTTCTCCTCCTACCACAATTTCTTCCCACATCCCCCTTTCTCTCTAAAATCCCTCTTTGCAACTTGCAATCTGCCATGTCTTCCTGGAATCCTACTTCTCCATCGACGACGAACCACTACGATCACCTCCCCTGACTCACTCCTCTTTCATCTTCAACAAGATCGACAAGGCCCTCTCCCTCGATGACCCAGATTCCTCCACCTACGAAAGCCAAAAGCCACTGTTGAAAAAATTCGGTGGCTCAGTGAAGCATTCAAACAATTTTCCAGGTTAAAACCCACCCAAAAGAAACCCAATTTTCACAAAACGTCAACAAAGAGAATTATTCTTGGAAAAAAGCAGAAAATTAAACGACCCCAAGAAAGAGTGAACATTAAATGAAAGAAGGTCAAACCCTAAAAACCCAGATCTCCAAAATTCCAAAGGAACCAACTTTTTGCAAAATAAAAGAAATTCCCAAATGCACAAATGTTGGAAATTTCTATCAAGAATCAAAGCCTTTCACCACACAACAATTAATTGCCATACCAAATGTTTATGATAAATATGTGATGTAGTTTTTTTTTATCATAGATAGAAATTTATGCCCAAAGAGTGACAATGAAATTCATTTGAAGGGGGGATTTCTTAGCATAAACAATTCAATAACTTTACCAATTACAGATTTTTGGGATTTCAGTCTGCCTTCAATGAAGAGGTAGGGTTTAAGGGGTGAACGCATATATAGGACGTCTCTCACAAAAGGATGAGGCCTAAGAGCTAACGTTAGCAAACAACCTTACCGAAGTTTCTCTTCAAGGTTTAAGACTCCCTTTACATAACCAAATAATTAGACTCCAAAAGACAAAATATGAAGAAAACAACGGTGATTTTTATGTGAAGCATATAATAGAGTATAAATAAGAGGTAGACGTATCAACTGGCTAGAAAATTCATCTAAAAGAACCTTGAAAAAGGAGGGTTTTCTTCTTGATCTTCTTGCCATTTCAAATTTTTCGTTTTCTTTCACTTCTCTCTCTTCTGAATACGGAAGAATAATGGTAGTCTGGACTATGAGAGAAAGTACTCCTCTTTTTACGAATTTATGTTACCCAAAAAGTAACAGTGGTCTGGAGAAGGAGAGAAAGTTCTCTCCACTTAGTTAATACTACAGTTTAATAGTATTTATTTTTATTTGTAAATGAGAGATCTTAGGTTCGATTCTCGTCAAAGAGAAATTTGAACCACGAGACTAAGCCCACCTTCCTCCCCATTAGTGTAGATAATATCGTTGTAAAAAAAGTTTGCTTTTTGGTTTTTATTCTTTGAAATTACCTTTACATATTGAAAAATTACCTTCATAGACTCTCTGTCACCTTATGTTTTTGGCACAATGATTTATAATGTTAGTACGAGAATTGACGTTAAACTGTTCGGTAGCAGAAAGTCCATAAAGAGTTCTACTTTTGAAAAAATCTCCTTACAAAAGGGCTAATAGTTCAACAAAAGAGAAACATATTTTGGCAGAATAAGGGAAACATGTGTTAGCATTCCTCTTATGTATTTTACTATGTTTTATTTTTGGGTAAAGTACAAAAAACTACCTCAACTTGGTCGCACGACACTTTCATACCTCATCTTTTTAAAATGACAATGTCATACCTCATCTTACGAATTTGTGCCAATGTCATACCTCCGTCAATTTTTCTGTTAGTTTTTCTGTTAAGTGCTGACGTGGTTTGGCTAAAATAGTGACGTGGCTTAAATAAATTAATAAAATATTAAAAAATTAATTAAATATTAAAAACTAAAAAATTAAAATCATTTAATATTTTTTTTACATGGGGACCCACCCCCTTTCCCCCTCCCGTCTTCCCCAAATCCTTTCCACCCCCTTTATTCCCCATCGACCCCTTTCTCCCTTCTCTCATCTGCAACCCCACCCACATTTCTCTCATCTGCAACTCGCACTCACCCTCCCTGAATTCATCGTTGACTCCATCCACCAAAGACCATCACCTTCTTCCTCATTCTAACTAACGACATCGAAGTCGCCGATCTCTGGCACACCAACCTCACCCCTCTCTGGGTACCCACTCCCTCCATTGATCTCCTCCCCTTCCTTACCAAACTACCCATATGGGTTCGAATACTTCTGCAAATCCTTGACAGCCTTGTCGCCCCACGATTACCAAGTAATCGACTTCATTGTCGGGTTTGCAGAAGTTGAGGACCGCCTCTGCCACCTCCCTCTACTCCCGCAGCCCAGCACCATCTTCAAGCCCAGCAAAACGCAACAGTAATCCCGTGCCCACCACCGCTCCTGAGTCTCTTGTGAATACAACTTGGGTTTTTTTTTTTCTGGGAAAAATTGAATGGTTTTGCTTTGTTTGGTTGCTCGAAAAATGTGGGAGAAAGGAAATGAATTTTTTTGATATTCTGAAGGTTCCATTTTCTTAGAAAAGTGAGGTAAACTGGAAGATGGATTTTTGAACTTTTGTTAATGGTGTGTTCTCAAGATTGGTGGGTGCTTTGTTTTTTATGCATGCTTGTAAGTTAGAAATAGATAGGAGCGGCGGAGGAAGAGAAGAGAGGCACCTGGTGGGAATGGGAGTGGCTGGTTTGGGTGGGATCTGGGTTTGGGTTAGGGGAAGACGGCAACCTCGTTGGCCCCAACCTTGACAGCTCTCCCTTTCTCCCTTTCTCCTTGACAGCTTCGGAGACGACAACGACGGCGGATCGGCGGTGGGCAATGGAGTGGGAGAGGGAAGCGGGTTGGAGCTTGCAGGTAAATCTGAGAAAGGAAGGTGGATGAAAAAATCCAGGTGGGTTTGGGGGTTCTGGGCACGGCGAGAGAGATAAGTGGGGAGGAAAAAGACTATGGTGGAGAGGAGAGGGGAGAGAAAGGGTGGTGGAGGAAGGTTAGGGGGACGGGTGGGAAGGGGTTTTGGGGATGCAGAGAAGAGAGAGGCAAGAGAGAAAGGGGAAAAAGAGGAGAGAGATAGAGAGATTTAATATATTTTTTTTTAATTTTGGGTAAATTACATAGTAGCCCCTCAGGTTTGAGGTCTATTACAACCCCATACAACATCTTTAAAACATTTCATTTTCATACCTCAAGTACTATTTTATTTCAAAATAATACATTCGTTACATTTTCCATCCATTGATCCGTTAAGTGATGATGTGGCTGCCACATTTGTGCCACATGGCTGCCAAATGTGTGCCACGTGGCAAAAAAAATTTTTTTTAATTTTTTTTAAAAAAAAACTTGAATCTTCTAAATTAAAAAAAACAAAACCAAAAACCAAATTCAAAAGCTGAACCCGTAACCCACCCACACAACCTGCAATGCGCTTCTCCAGCACATACTTTTCGTTCTGAGTTTGCGCCTCTTTGATCGAATAATCCGCCAAATGCTTTCGCAATTGCATAATTTCTTGATCGTGCTTATGAACCCTAACAACCAGATCCTTCTTCAACATTCTGCTATTAGGGTTGTTCGACTCGGTCAATGGCATCAAACCATTTCCGTAATCCCCCTCCATGCTCGACCTGCCTGGTGAAAGCGACGTCATCGTAGACGGCGATGACAATCTCAATATCCCATTGCTTGCGTTATCAGCCGCCGTCGGAGTACCAAAAACCCGAACCACCTTCATTGATTTCGCTGCTGCCCAATTGGGTCTCTCTTGTTTCCGATTCCCCACGACTCTGCTGTGACGAACCGTGATTCGCAATCCTCTCGATTCGATTGTCAACGTCAGCGGCAGCTACCTGATGAGCTTGGTCCTGAGATTCGCGGGCGGAAGGCGGCAACTGGGCGGCCATGGATTCGTGGAGATTGTACCTGTGCAGCTCGAGAATCTTGTATTCGAGCTGAGCCCGCAACCGAATGTTGTATTCCACCTGCTGCTTGATTGTGGCCTCCGCAGCTTCCATGGCGTACATAACTTAAAGCAAGCTGATGTCTTGATTGTCTGCGGTGGCGGTGGCGGTAGAAGAAGCAATTGGGTCGGCGATGGGGGGTGTGTAGAGGAGAGTGGGGGGTGTGTAGAGAAGGAAAGATGGTGGGTGTGGAAGGAGGAAGGGTCGTGGGTTAGGGGGTGCACAGGGAGGGTCGCGGGTAGGGAGGGGGTGTTCTGGGTTTTTGGTTTTGGGGTGGGGGACGCGAGTGGGGTGGGGTGGGGGGTTATCATTTCTAGGTTTTCAGGGAAGAAGATGAAGATGGCGGATATGGGTTTTGGGGTTGCGAGGAGAAGAGAGGATTTTGGGAGTTGCAAAAGAGGGGGGGAAGGAAGGGATCTGGGTTTCGGGACTTTCTAGTTTTTTTTTAATAATTTTAATATTTAGAAGATTTAGGTTTTTTTTTAAAAAAAATAAAAAAATATTTTTTTGCCACGTGGCAGCCACATCAGCATAAAATGTGGTAACCACGTCAGCATTTAACAGATTAATGGATGGAAAATCTAACGGAGGTGTTATTTTGAAATAAAATGGTACTGGATGTATGAAAGTGAAATGTTTTAAAGTTGTTGTATGAAGTTGTAATAGACCTCAAACCTGAGGGGCTACTATGTAATTTACCCTTTAATTTTTTAATTTTTAATTATTAAAAATTATATTTAATTATATTTTAATCCAGTTGGATTAGTGAGTGACCCCGTATCTAGTCACGTCAGCACTTAACAAAGAAACTAACAAAAAAACTGACGAAGGTATGACATTGGCACAAATTCGTAAGATGAGGTATGACATTGTCATTTTAAAAAGATGAGGTATGAAAGTGTCGTGAAACTAATAGTTGAGGTAGTTTTTTGTACTTTACCCTTTATTTTTTGGTTAAACAAAAGGGTTAATAGTTCAACAAAAGATAGAATTTACAAAATAATGTCACATAGGTTGAGAAACCCCAGCAGCAATATATTAGAAATTACTTATGGTTATATTTGCTTACATTTTTTGTTGGTTCATTTCTTATTATGTCATTTCTATCTTCCATTCTGAACCACTTGGAAGCTTAAAGTATACTCTGCTTGATAGATCATTACTGTATTCCCTCACATTTTTTTTTGGAATCATCTGCACAACAGAAACATGGAAAACAACAACAACAAAAAAAAAGCATTATCTGATTTCTTTAGAATGGTTTATTAAGAAAGTATATACCCGACTATCCTACCGACTGCTTAAATTAATCCGGCGACCATTTAGTATGAGAAGACACCAAACAACCAAGTCCGTACTATTAGTCCTATCCGATTCTTTATACGGTGTGTCAAACACGGCCTTAGTCTCCAAATCTTATGGGATTCTACTTTAAATTTACATGATTACATTTCTAATTAATAGTTGCATTCACGACACAAATAAACTTTTGTTTAAAAGATGATTTATACATCACAATCATAGGAAGTTGCACCTTGAATAAAAACCCAGGATTGTAAGGTCAAAAATATTTAAAGCACAGAAAAATACAGAGTAATTCCAGGTATCCATAGACCTTTCTAACTACAGCAAAAAGTGGTCTATTTCGACTGCAAAATGTGGTTGGTAACTGAGGTCTTTCATCCCACTTAAAAGAAATTAAGAACTTTGCCTAATCAACTTCTGAAAATGTGAACTTTCAGCACAATGTCATTTGTCTCGACGAGTTCAAATGTGCACACATCTCCTGTTCTCAAACTATTTTCCTCCGCAAATGCAAGCCATCCACCAGAAATGATCATTTGTCTCCTCTCATTAGTGTAACCAATCAAATTCACGGGCCAGAATGCTCTCCGACCTGAAGGGTCGTGGTTTGCGCCTTTCGTAGGGGGAATCTCATGGCAACCTTCACTGGTACATGCTGCAAAATATGAATGATAAATAGTGAACATAATTCAAGCTTAGTGCGTACACGACATATACACATACGTGCACAAGTAATTAGGTTGGAGTATTTATGTTCGAAGCAATGTTATGTCAATGATCCTACTACCACTGTCTTGGATGTTGGCCCCAAAGTGGCTCTAAAGAAAGGATTTTTTGGGATGAAATTGTTGGCAGCTTCAAGAACCCTTGAAGCCTTCAAACATGAAGGCGTTTGAGTAACCTGATCAGAAATCTTTAACTTTGTGTACTCTCCTACAGTAAAACATACAAAATATAATCTGAGTACCAAAATTTTCTGCATTTTTCACTTTTGTGGACTTGACAATTTCAAGTAAATTAAGGATCAAGAATGCAACACACCATTTTCATAACCTGATTTGACTTTACATATGGACCTTCTCTTTATTTCAACTTGATCAATTGCTCCTCCTCCATGGCCTGGATTCCCCAAAAATTACAAAGAAATACTAGAATCTAAGTTACGATGCAAGCATAATGGAGAAGTATATACTAGCAAATGAACAGATTTTACCTGCTGACGAGGAGCACATTTTAGCTTCTGTGGCGCGGAAAAAGACAACTTCAAATGTAAGTTCATCGTGGTTAACCAATTCAAAAACACATAAATCACCAACTTTCAAGTTGTTTTCCCTTGCAAACACTGACCAACCATTCTGAAATCGAGGTGTTGCATCATATTTGAAAGTAACTGGCCAGGTGCTTCCATCTAAAATCTGAAGGATTACGTTACTTGAACGCTGCTTGTTAAGATGTGTCCTCACAAACTCATATGGCAAACCCTAAAATGAAACAGAGACCAGGAAAGAAAATGAGAACGTTTTTTTTATGAGAGACTATTGTGATTCCGCTCTTTGAGAGGGAAACGTATGTGCTTAATCTTTTTTCACGCAGAATGTGTTGTACATAAAACATACCAGATAACTACTATGGATATAAGCTGGTTGAATGGCAACCCGAAATGAAGGGTATTCAGATTTGAAAGCATTGGCTCTCTGAAGAGCCAGAGCTATTTCGCTTTTGGTCAATGAATGTTCCCTCCCAAGAACATCAGGTGTTCGTTTTCGGAATATTTGACTGCTAGACAAGCCTCCAACTTCTTTCATTGTGGAAAAATCACGTTCTCCTGTCAGATATTACAAGAAACATGAAGTGGCATCTTAATTCTTTTGGTAGGAAAGCAGAATGAGGTAAAAGATAAAAATAAAAACTAAATATACATTCCTTACTTTTCACTTCTGATTTAGAGCAATATGAGTCTTTGCTTCTGAATGACTTCTTGATTTCACAAGGTTGAGTCTTTGTTGCTGGGAAGTTGGTGTTGCATTCCGCTGCTTTACTACTCGAACATGTTCTCATTTTCTTGTGTAGACATGGTAATGGAGATTTCTCCCTTGTTTTTCTAGGGCAGGGTGAAAAGTCGTCCAAGATTTCGACCGAGTCATCATCTTCATAATCTGTTTCTTCCTCCTCAGGTATTGTTGGATCGTCTTGTACTTCATCAGAATCTCTACTAATATCATCATTAGAATGATCATCATGTTTATCAGTTTCTTCCAACTTGGGCATTACCAGTGATTTATCCCTTGATTTTCTCGGGCACAGATCATCCAAGATTTCGACAGATTTATCATCATGGTCTTCATAAACAGTTTCCAAATTCAAGCCTCCACTGCATTCTTTTCCAGCATAAGGATCGTGAGAGCTAGACGTGCCAATTTCCCACTTTCCCTGATCCATAGCTCTAGCTCCTTTGGCATGGCCTCCTTCCCAAGAATAAAAAAGAAAATAACAAATCATGTGTAAGTTATGGATTCGTAACTGAGCACAAATCGAATATAACAACTTATTACATGTAAACCTGGAGACAAGGAGCAGTTTGAAGCTTCTGTACCCCGGTAAAAGACAACTTCAAATGCAAGTTCAATGCCCTTAATCAAGATAAATACACACACATCTCCAGTTTTCAAATTATTGTCCCTTACAAATTCCAACCAACCACGCTGGAATCGTACTTTCCCTTTTTCATATATTTTGAGTTTAACACACCAAGTTCCTCCATCTGGAAGACGAAGGATGGCATTACCATCAGGCTGATGCATAAGATGTCTCTTGGCAAACCCCGCCGGCAAAATCTTCAAAAGAAAACGAAATATTTGTTTATTTGAAAAGAGAGAACATTTGATTATTACTTATGCAAGGGGATTTACCAAATTGCCGAATATGTAGGAGGGCTGCATGGCAACTTTGAAGTGAGGCTTTTCAGATTTGAAAGCAATTGCTCTCTGAAGAGCTATAGCTTTATCTTTTTCAGTCAATGGATGCATCCTTGGATAGCTCTTTCTTTTTTTCTTCGGAGGCAAAGGACATGGTAAAGATGAATATCTCTCCCCTTTTCTTCTTCGGCTTGTGGGAAAATCATCCAAGATTTCAACCGACTCGTCATCTTCGTAATCGGTTTTTTCCTTCTCCGGCAATTTTATGGGATAGTCAACTTCTGTGCAACTTCTATCGAATATGAAGACGTGGAATCTTGAATTCCCTTCATACCCGAAAACTAGCCAAAAAGCGTAGTCAAGAGAGTAAAATTTGGAGAACTCCGGCCAACCCTTCTCAAACCAAACCTCACCATTACATCTTCTCAGTTCTATTTCCCATTCTGAACCACATGGAAGTGTAAGATATACTGGACTTGATAACTCTTCTCCATATTTCATCACAAATTTCATCGGAACTTTCTGCTCATGTCAAAATCTAAGTTAAAAGAACAATTTCTAATCTTTTTGTGGGCAACAAATGAAAATCTCCATAACCAAGTAAACATTTTTACGAGTGCATAATGAGAGAGAGAGAGAGAGAGAGAGAAAAGCTTACAAGTTTGGTGTCTCTCGATGTGTCATCAAGAATAACTTTGAAAAAATGGGGTATTGTAGATGAAAATGTTGGCCGTAAAGAAGCCATGGTTGAACTGATTCAAAAGCTTTGGGTGTGGAGATGGTTGAAGCTTGAGATCATATGTGATAGATAAATTCTTTTATAAATTACCGACTAGACAGGTTAATCTCGAGAAGTGAGAAAAGTGGAAAGACATTATCCTCAGGAAACAGAATCAAATGATTTTAATCAGCTGAATAGTCACTGCTTTTTAGTCAGTACTTACTAGTTACTACAACTAGCTACATCCCAACGGACTGGTATGATTGGTTTTCATGAATTCTTTATTAATCTTCTTTTTCTTAAAAAGTTTATTTTCTTTGTCATCTCTAAGACCAACTCCAAACCTGAGCTAAAAGTCAAATTTTAGCCCAAAATTTCTCCCCATACACCACCCAACCCAAACTAAAATATTGGGCTAAAAGGGGAATGCTAAAACTAGGCTAAATTCCCCCCCCCCCCCCCAAATTCCCCCTATCCGCATGGACTCGCCACAATTTGGGCCACTCTCGGCCCGCCCACCTGCGGACGTGCCCCACAGGTCTGGTTTGCATTTGCTTCCTACAGCGCAGGGTCCCACTGCTAGGGCCCTGTCGGCCACTACCCTCGAGCCTAACGGCTCTTTTTCCCATCCGACGACCATCGTTTAAGGACCGTTGGATGCCAACGGTCCAAATTCAAATTTCATTTAAAAAAAATATGTTATTTTAAAATACATTGAATCCAACGGCTGAGATCGAATGTAATCAAATCTAACGGTAAAAAAAGGATCTAACGGCCCAAATTTAAATCCAACGGCTAAAATAATTAAAAAAATGTATTTAACTCAAAATTCACCCAAAAACTCTATAAATACCTATATCCCAACATGATGAATCCTCTGAACCCTATATCCCAACATTTCAACGAAGTCCATCACCAAGTGAAGATGGTGGATATGATTGTTAAGTTTATGTAGTGTATGAATTATGTGCTTTATTAATTAAGTTTATTAATTGTCGTTTGAAGGCTTGCTTTGTGAAAAATTTAATGATTTTTCAATATTTATCGGAATTTAAATTTTTTTAGATTAAAATGTTCACAAAATTAATTTACAATAGTCTACATATTTATTTTAAAAAAATTGATTTAAGAAAAAAATTAGCCTAAGTTCATTCTTTAATAATCCCGGGCTAAAATTTTAGGCCAGAAGGGTTGGAGCAGAAAAACTGTTTCTGGGCTAAAAGCTAAATTTTCCGGGTTAAAAAATTTGACTTTTAGCCCAAGGGTTGGAGATGGTCTAATGAAGGAAAAATCGAGCTTAAATGTTACATTTTGACTTAAATTAAAATTTATATTTGGGGTTTGATATAAAATTTGAGTCTATGATGAATGAAGCACACACACGCTATTTTCTTGAGTTTTTAAAATTTAACGGTTTAGTTTTTATTTTTTTTGTTATTATGTTTCATTTTTTTAATATAAAAATAATTATCAAACAAGTTTTTTATTTTTTATTTTTTTTTTAAATTGAAAACTAAAACGAAATAGTATCAAACGACTTTAGTCTTTCAATAGTTGAGTTGATGTTAGTTAGCTGTAATTGTACGTGAATTAAGAGGAAATTTTCTAATTCAAAATAAATGCAATGCAGCTAAATTTGTAATACAAAAATATAGGTACAACCTTATTGGAGGAAATACTCTCCATGATGTGACCTCCATGTATCATAGTAAACCTGACATTCATATTGTGTTTTTCGTATTCGTGTCATTTTCGTGATATACCCGATATCTTAACAGGTTATGTCGTATAACACCCGTTAAAGTAAACGGGTAATATGACCCCACTCGAAATCGACCCATTAATATTATCAGGTAATATGACCAGACCCGTTACCCGTTAAGGAAAATATATTTTAATTCAATAAATAATTATAATGAAAAACACAATTTGACCCCAAAAAAATTGAAAACATAATATTAAATGTGTATATGTATATAACATTGTCACATAAATCTTACTTCAAAACATAAAAACAACATTTGTCTTTTAAGTATTACATACTCTAGCCACTTAGTACTACGGTCTAATGATATTCCTCTTCACTTGGAAATAAGAGGTCTTAGGTTCGAATCTCGTAGATGGCGAATTCGATACCAAATTAGGTTGCTCATTGTGTGACTTAGCCGAACTCCCCCTTATCTCGAGTCGATTCTCACCTTGTTGGTTATGCCAACGCATGATACTTATCTGATCCGCACAAGGCGCGTTCTCAAATGGGTTATGTCTTTACCGTTTGAGGCACCTCAATCTCTTGGAGGTCAATCAAATAAACCTTAGTTGCCACTTCGTCTAACCATGCTGAAATTCTTGTCTTACATGAAGCAACTTGAGAATGCTTTTATATAAAAAAGTATTACATACTCCAAAATAAGAGTCTAATGAAAAACATTAGTACATACTACAAAATACCAAAGGTTCAAGGATATGCAAAACGAAAGGGAAATGATATTGATTCATTTTGAACTCCCTTAAAAATACTATTCATGAGGGTTTGTATGGTTCTCAAAATTCAAACCACAATGTACCCATCCTCAAAGCGTACTGGATGCGATCATGAGTGTTCGCATATTTTTTCACATTTTTCGCACTAATAAATTAATTATTAAATTTTTTTAATGTGTTTGATATTTTTATTTTTAATGTTTTTTATCATTTTTTTATCTTACTCCTTGCCTATAGTATATTATTAAAATAAATAAAACTTAAAATGCTCAAATTTATAGAGAATAATAATTCAATAATACATGTTTTAATATTCACTATATACATATACGCTATAACTTTTTTTTTAAACGTGTCGAAACAGGTTATCCGCGTGTCACTCTTGTGTTAACTTGTTAAGGACCCGTTAGTAACGGGTTCTTATCGTGTGACCCGATAACTACCCGATTAGTTATCGTGTCAAACCAAATTTTTTTTATTTTCGTGTCGTTTACATATCATGTTAATGGGTCGTGTAAGAAATTAGCAAGTGTATATCAAAGTTTCATTCACCAAAAACACATGCAAAGAATCAATTAACGTATTGAAAAATCAATTCAAAGAATAAAAATAATGAATCTTACAAATAATATCTGGTCAGCAGGTTCAAAGAAAACGATTTTTTTTTCCTTTTTTTTTTTTTTTTTTGTAAATCAGATGAATATACTATGAATGCCACGTTACTCTATCACGCTTGATAATCCATCGTAGTCAATCCATTTTCTTGTTGTGTAAGTTCAAACATGAACTAATGTCGTTTGATATACAATGTGCATCATCTGCACAACGAAAGTTTAAATATTAATAGTCAATCCATTTTCTTGTTGAAAACGTGTACCCGCGATTTTTACAAAAGTTTAAATATTAATGTAGTCAAAGTAAGATGATCAATGCAAATTTGAGTGCACATTCAAGGAGCTAAAACAAAATAGCTTAGTTGTCGTTGTGTGGGAGAAAAGGAAGACGTAAGTTTACCGGGCTTTGGACAACAATGGAAGTATAAGCCCCCGAGTTTGACAAATCATAAGCAATTTCCATGCCTGAATTTCCAGGCCCAACGACCAAAACAATTTTCCCACCATATTTCGTGCCGTTTTCGTACTTGCTTGAATGAATGGCCTCCCCCTTGAATCCTTCCAAGCCTAGCACTTGAGGAATACATCATAACCTACCATTGTGAGGCTTAGTCCACTCTCACACACTAAGGTGTAGATAATATTGTTTTGTTCAAAAAAAAAAAAAATGTATTTGGAAGAGAGCCATGTCCATCGTTGATTTTCTTGTGCATAACTGGCCGGGCGCCACTCCCTCATGTCCACCGACCAGCCGAGCCAATTTCTAACACTTTCCGATAACCAGCCCATTAATTCACAACACAAGGCACTGACATCGAATTTGAATATGAGCAGATGCAATGAAGTGTGAACATAGAACATCAATGATACAATGGCATGCATCTCATTAAGTCCAGGAACGTGCAAAACTAGTGTAATTAGATGTTGGCACGTAAGTAGTTGAAATTAAAGCAATATTAACTCATAATCCATCAGATATTCAGATATTTTTCTTATTACCAAATGAAAAGAAGACTGAACCAAAAGGAGGCAAAAACCCATAAGGTCTACCAAAGCATCCACAAACAGTTCTAACAAAGTGCAGTGGAACCCAACAAAGCAAAACCCTATCACGACAAACTAAACACCACAATAATCAACATCTAAATATGTAGACTTTCGGTGAGATATTATTTCTGTCGAGAAGTTCAAATATGCAAACATCTCCTTCTGTCAAGCAATTTCCCTTAGCAATGCTGCCCAGCCAGCGGATAATTTAAGTGCGTTACGCCAATGAACAGTCAAACTCACATGCCACATTCCATCGTCAACCCAAAGTGTCACAATTTGTTTCTTCTTTTCAATGAAGTGCTTGGAAAAACTAGTTGGAATACGCTGCACAAAATAGATATATGGTATTAAACACAAGAGAAACACTAGAACTGGAACTGTTTGTGAAAGTGAGTCTCAATAGCTTTTTTCTTTTTTTCTTTTTTTGAACCACAATAGCATTTTTCTAAATACATAGAAAAAAAAAAACAATTTGAGTATGAATACATATGTGATGGATCAACGATGTATGGGTGGCACCAATGCATGATAATATTTGTAAATTGACGATTTCTGATGATGATTCTTAACTATAAAATTTTGTTTCTGGTATTCATACATGGTTAAAAAAAATTATTTGAATGTGAGATGATTAACAGGTATTAAGTTGTAAATATATGTTGGCAATGATACTTACCAACACACGGGATGACCCCAGACCAAGGGTGACTCTGAAGAATGGATTGCTTGAAACGAAGCGCTCAAAGATGTATCGAAGGCCCTTTAATAAAACCAACAAAGTATAATCATCAAATTTCCTCGGCCAAAATTTTTGGTTAGACATAGGTTGTGCAGGATGTCCATTCTTTATAGTGCATCAATATTGTTGAAAATGTATTCGATAATATGTTCGTACATTTTGTTGACAATAATGCTATGGGCGACCTGACCTCCGCCAGTTCATTACCATGACAAATCAACAGTCAGTTCATTATTGAAGAACGGACCACAGTTCCATTACGGAACTAACCTATACAAACCTAGTTATGGTGCACAAATTCTAAAATTAATAGCTGATTATTTACCAGTTGGAGACATGCGGCAATTTCAAGTTAAATTAATAGCTGATTATACAAACCTAGTTATGGTGCACAAATTCTAAAATTAATAGCTGATTATTTTTTGGGATGAAATTGTTGGCAGCTTCAAGAACCCTTGAAGCCATCAAACATGTAGGCGTTTGAGTAACCTGATCAGAAATCTTTAACTTTGTGTACTCTCCTACAGTAAAACATACAAAATATAATCTGAGTACCAAAATTTTCTGCATTTTTCACTTTTGTGGACTTGACAATTTCAAGTAAATTAAGGATCAAGAATGCAACACACCATTTTCATAACCTGATTTGACTTTACATATGGACCTTCTCTTTATTTCAACTTGATCAATTGCTCCTCCTCCATGGCCTGGATTCCCCAAAAATTACAAAGAAATACTAGAATCTAAGTTACGATGCAAGCATAATGGAGAAGTATATACTAGCAAATGAACAGATTTACCTGCTGACGAGGAGCACTTTTTAGCTTCTGTGGCGCGGAAAAAGACAACTTCAAATGTAAGTTCATTGCGGTTAATCAATTCAAAAACACATAAATCACCAACTTTCAGGTTGTTTTCCCTTGCAAACACTGACCAACCATTCTGAAATCGAGGTGTTCCATCATATTTGAAATTAACTGGCCAAGTGCTTCCATCTAAAATCTGAAGGATTACGTTACTTGAACGCTGCTTGTTAAGATGTGTCCTCACAAACTCATATGGCAAACCCTAAAATGAAACAGAGACCAGGAAAGAAAATAAGAACGTTTTTTATGAGAGACTATTGTGATTCCGCTCTTTGAGAGGGAAACAACAACAACAACAACAACAACAACAAAGCCTTTTCCCACTAAGTGGGGTCGGCTATATGAATCCTAGAACGCCATTGCGCTCGGTTTTGTGTCATGTCCTCTGTTAGATCCAAGTACTCTAAGTCTTTTCTTAGAGTCTCTTCCAAAGTTGTCCTAGGTCTTCCTCTACCCCTTCGGCCCTGAACCTCTGTCCCGTAGTCACATCTTCGAACCGGAGCGTCAGTCGGCCTTCTTTGCACATGTTCAAAATCACCGGAGCCGATTTTCTCTCATCTTTCCTACAATTTCGGCTACTCCTACTTTACCTCGGATATCCTCATTCCCAATCTTATCCTTTCTCGTGTGCCCACACATCCCACGAAGCATCCTTATCTCCGCTACACCCATTTTGTGTACGTGTTGATGCTTCACCACCCAACATTCTGTGCCATACAATATCGCTAGCCTTATTGCCGTCCTATAAAATTTTTCCTTGAGCTTCAGTGGCCTACGACGGTCACACAACACGCCGGATGCACTCTTTCCATCCAGCTCGTATTCTATGGTTGAGATCTCCATCTAATTCTCCGTTCTCTTGCAAGATAGATCCTAGGTAGCGAAAACGATCGCTTTTTATGATCTTCGCTAGATTGCTCCGGTCATTAGTGTGGATAAGTATATAAATGGATAGAGATAGGAAAGCAAACACAAGATGTACGTGGTTCACCCAGATTGGCTACGTCCACGGAATAGAAGAGTTCTCATTAATTGTGAAGGGTTTACACAAGTACATAGGTTCAAGCTCTCATTTAGTGAGTACAAGTGAATGATTTAGTACAAATGACATTAGGAAATATTGTGGGAGAATGATCTCGTAATCACGAAACTTCTAAGTATCGGAGTGTGGTGTCGTCTTGACTTGCCTTATCTGTCTCATAGGTAGATGTGGCATCTTCTCTGGAAGTACTCTTCCTCCATCCAGGGGGTGGTATCTTTAACTGGTGGAGATGCACAAGGTAATGTATCAATTTCACTTGAAGCTTACTTGTAGTTTCAGGCTTGGTCAAGCGCGATACAAACCATGTAGTAGGAGTCCCCCAAGTCGCCGAGCTAGGGGGTCTGCTGAAAGAGGTGACAGACAAGGTAAGCAATCAGAGCTCCGACTGATTGTTCACCTTCTCCCCATCTTGCAGCAGCATGAAGGATAAAGAGAAGAAAAATGAAAAGAGATGATATGAGATACTTTTGCTTTTGAAGAAGTAACTTTTCACAGGCTTATTCTTGAACTGAGCTGGAGGGTTTTCTGGTTTTCTCCAGAGTATAAGGCCGACTGAAGAATTTGAGGGTCAAAACAAGTCCATCAAATCTAGAGTACGTTCCACCCTGCTGATATGGGATACTTTTGCTTTTGACAGAGTAATGGAATGTATCGGCACGTGTGCTGTTACGCTTGTCTCCACATGCTTCCTTGTATCCTTCGCACTTGCCCTATCTGTTCCTCAAGCAGATGCGGAATCTTCCCTGGAAACATAAGATGTTGAAGATGAGTACTCGAGAGCAATGCCAGGTAAGTAATCAGGTAAGGGGTTCCAGGCAGTCAGTTCCTGGCTGGAAGCTTGATTCCAAGTGCTGACTGATTGCTCTCTTTCTCCTTGTCTTGCAGGTAAAAACAAGGCCAAAAGAAAAGACAGGGAAAAAGCATGATATGGGATACTCTTGCTTTTAACCCTGATGATATGAGATATTCTTGCTCTAGTATAGCTTGTTTGCAGAGGTATTATCGGGGGGAAAGAAAGCTGAATATTTCGAAAGGCTTCGTTGGGAGTGCCCTCTCAGATATGATGAAGGGTTGAGCATTTTTGCAGGTCTGCCTGTCCGTTGGGGATGGAGGTCGACATATATAGGAGTCTCCCTAACAACAAGTAGTAATGCTATTCCTTTACCCTGCTTGGTCATAGCACGGTAGTGGGAGCTGCCAGTTTCACATGTTTTAACTCTGTCAGAGCACTTTGAAAAAGTGGTCTGTGGTATCTGGCTCTCGAGATTCGGAGAACGATGCCTCTTCGATTTTTGAGAAAGCAATCATGCTGGGGGTATGACTCTCGAGATTCGGAGAGCAGTGTCTCTTCGATTTTTGAGGAAGTAATCATGTTGGGAGTCTGGCTCTCGAGATTCGGAGGGCGGTGCCTCTTCGATTTTGGAGCAAGCAATCTTGTTGGGAGTGTTGTCTCGAATGTGAGTAAAGGTTGGGCATGTTTGCTAGTCTACCTTGCCACGAAGCACAAAGGTTGACACACAGGGACTTTCCAATTATCCAGCAATGGTACTGTTCCTTTACCCTCTCTTCGATTTTGAGAAAGTAGTCATGTTGGGAGTCTGGCTCTCGAGATTCGGAGGACGGTGCCTCTTCGATTTTGGAGCAAGCAATCTTATTGGGAGTGTTTTCTCGAATGTGAGTAAAGGTTGGGCATGTTTGCTAGTCTACCTTGCCACGAAGCACAGAGGTTGACACACAGGGACTTTCCAATTATCCAGCAGTGGTACTGTTCCTTTACAGTTGTGGGTAATAATATGGTAGCTAGACCTTCAAAATTTATGTGTCTAAACTTTTGTTAGTGTTGTTTCTTTGCTATTCTTTTACCTTTCTTGGTCAGAGCGATGTAGTGGGAGCTGCAAGCTTCACGTGCTCAACTTTGGCAGAGAACTTTGGCAAAGTTATTTGTGGTACCCATGAGCTATTGTTGCGTGTGGGAAGTGGGTGATTGAACAGTAAGATTCATGTGCTTTCTACTTCACCAGAAGTCTTCGACAGAATGCCCATAATTTCTGCAAAGCTGAGTGTGCGTGTGACAGGTGCTGACAAGGCTAGAAAAGTAGGTGCCTCTTCGATTTCTGAGATCGGCCCTCGTGGTCTCTGAGCAGCCCAGCTTTTGAGAAAGCGAGCGCCTCTTCGATTGATTCGGAGAACGATGCCTCATCGATTTTTGAAAAAGCAATCATGCTGGGGGTCTGGCTCTCGAGATTCGGGGAGCAGTGTCTCTTCGATTTTTGAGAAAGTAATCATGTTGGGAGTCTGGCTCTCGAGATTCGGAGGGCGGTGCCTCTTCGATTTTGGAGCAAGCAATCTTGTTGGGAGTGTTTTCTCGAATGTGAGTAAAGGTTGGGCATGTTTGCTAGTCTACCTTGCCACGAAGCACAGAGGTTGACACACAGGGACTTTCCAATTATCCAGCAATGGTACTGTTCCTTTACCCTCTCTTCGATTTTTAAGAAAGTAGTCATGTTGGGAGTCTGGCTCTCGAGATTCGGAGGACGGTGCCTCTTCGATTTTGGAGCAAGCAATCTTATTGGGAGTGTTTTCTCGAATGTGAGTAAAGGTTGGGCATGTTTGCTAGTCTACCTTGCCACGAAGCACAGAGGTTGACACACAGGGACTTTCCAATTATCCAGCAGTGGTACTGTTCCTTTACCCTTGTGGGTAATAATATGGTAGCTAGACCTTCAAAATTTATGGGTCTAAACTTTGTTAGTGCTGTTTCTTTGCTATTCTTTTACCCTTCTTGGTCAGAGCGATGTAGTGGGAGCTGCAAGCTTCACGTGCTCAACTTTGGCAGAGAACTTTGGCAAAGTTATCTGTGGTACCCATGAGCTATTGTTGCGTGTGGGAAGTGGGTGATTGAACAGTAAGATTCATGTGTTTTCTACTTCCCCAGAAGTCTTTGACAGAATGCCCATAATTTCCGCAAAACTGAGTGTGCGTGTGACAGGTGCTGACAAGGCTGGAAAAGGCTGGAAAAGTAGGTGCCTCTTCGATTTCTGATATCGGCCCCCGTGGTCTCTGGGGAGCCCAGCTTTTGAGAAAGCGAGCGCCTCTTCGATTTTTGAGATCGGCCTTCGTGGTCTTTGAGCAGCCCAACTTTTGAGAAAGCAAAACGCCTCTTCGATTTCTGAGATCAACCCTCGTGATCTTTAAGCAGCCCAGCTTTTGAGAAAGCAAACGCCTCTTCGATTTCTGAGCAGGCGCCTCTTCGATTTCTAAAGCTTCGTCGAGTGCAGATTTTTATAGGGGCTGGCATTAAGTTCCAAAGCACACTTGAATCTCCACCAGTAGAAGCTTCATTCTTGCACTTCTAAGATCTTGATTTGTCCGACCTCTTCTCTCTTCAACACCTTTGAAAATGTCTGGCCCCTCCGACCGTCGTTTTGACTTGAACCTTGTTGAAGAGGCAGCCCCGCCTTCTCCAGACAACATATGGCGCCCATCCTTCGTCTCCCCTACTGGTCCTCTTACCGTTGGGGATTCCGTGATGAAGAATGATATGACCGCTGCGGTGGTGGCCAGGAACCTTCTCACTCCCAAAGATAACAGACTACTTTCCAAACGGTCTGATGAGTTAGCTGTTAAGGATTCGCTGGCTCTCAGTGTTCAGTGTGCAGGTTCTGTGTCTAATATGGCCCAACGCCTATTTGCTCGAACCCGCCAAGTTGAATCATTGGCGGCTGAAGTGATGAGTCTCAAACAGGAGATTAGAGGGCTCAAGCATGAGAATAAACAGTTGCACCGGCTCGCACATGACTATGCTACAAACATGAAGAGGAAGCTTGACCAGATGAAGGAAACTGATGGTCAGGTTTTACTTGATCATCAGAGATTTGTGGGTTTGTTCCAAAGGCATTTATTGCCTTCGTCTTCTGGGGCTGTACCGCGTAATGAAGCTCCAAATGATCAACCTCTGATGCCTCCTCCTTCTAGGGTTCTGTCCAGTACTGAGGCTCCAAATGATTCCCCCTCCGGTGCCTTCTCTTTCTGGGGCTCTACCGACTGCTGAGACTTCTCCTAAGCAACCTTTGTGAAGGCTCCCTCTTGTGTGCTTATTTTGACTCATGTATATGTACATATTTGTAGCTTATCGGGGATATCAATAAATAAGCTTTCCTTCATTTCAACGTATTGTGTTAAATACACCAAAGCCTTCTTCGCTAAGTTCTTTGAATTTTCTTTTGTTAAAGCTTGTTTGTTGAAGCTTTCTGAGTGGAGCATGTAGGTTGGGGTAGTGTTCCCTTAATTTCCCGAGTGAGGAAAACTTCTCGGTTGGAGACTTGGAAAATCCAAGTCACTGAGTGGGATCGGCTATATGAATCTTAGAACGCCATTGTGCTCGATCCTGTGTCATGTCCTTCGTTAGATCCAAGTACTCTAAGTCTTTTCTTAGAGTCTCTTCCAAAGTTTTCCTAGGTCTTCCTCTACCCCTTCGGCCCTGAACCTCTGTCCCATAGTCGCATCTTCTAATCGGAACGTCAGTAGGCCTTCTTTGCACATGTCCAAACCACCGTAACCGATTTTCTCTCATCTTTCCTTCAATTTCGGCTACTCCTACTTTACCCCGGATATCCTCATTCCTAATCTTATCCTTTCTCGTGTGCCCACACATCCAACGAAGCATCCTCATCTCCGCTACACCCATTTTGTGTACGTGTTGATGTTTCACCGCCCAACATTCTGTGCCATACAGCATCGCCGGCCTTATTGCCGTCCTATAAAATTTTCCCTTGAGCTTCAGTGGCATACGGCGGTCACACAACACGCCGGATGCACTCTTCCACTTCATCCATCCAGCTTGTATTCTATGGTTGAGATCTCCATCTAATTCTCCGTTCTTTTTGCAAGATAGATCCTAGGTAACGAAAACGGTCGCTCTTTGGTATTTCTTGATCTCCGATCCTCACCCCTAACTCGTTTTGGCCTCCATTTGCACTGAACTTGCACTCCATATATTCTGTCTTTGATCGGCTTAGGCGAAGACCTTTAGATTCCAACACTTCTCTCCAAAGGTTAAGCTTTGCATTTACCCCTTCCTGAGTTTCATCTATCAACACTATATCGTCTGCGAAAAGCATACACCAAGGAATATCATCTTGAATATGTCGTCCTGTTAACTCATCCATTACCAACGCAAAAAGGTAAGGACTTAAGGATGAGCCTTGATGTAATCCTACAGTTATGGGAAAGCTTTCGGTTTGTCCTTCATGAGTTCTTACGGCAGTCTTTGCTCCTTCATACATATCCTTTATAGCTTGGATATATGCTACTCGTACTCCTTTCTTCTCTAAAATCCTCCAAAGAATGTCTCTTGGGACCCTATCATACGCTTTTTCCAAATCTATAAAGACCATGTGTAAATCCTTTTTCCCATCTCTATATCTTTCCATCAATCTTCGTAAGAGATAGATTGCCTCCATGGTTGAGCGCCCTGGCATGAACCCGAATTGGTTGTCCGAAACCCGTGTCTCTTGCCTCAATCTATGCTCAATGACTCTCTCCCAAAGCTTCATTGTATGACTCATTAGCTTAATACCCCTATAATTCATGCAATTTTGTACGTCGCCCTTATTCTTGTAGATAGGCACCAAAGTGCTCATTCGCCACTCATTTGGCATCTTCTTCGTTTTCAAAATCCTATTGAAAAGGTCAGTGAGCCATGTTATACCTGTCTCTCCCAAAAGTTTCCACACTTCGATTGGTATATCGTCTGGGCCTATTGCTTTTTTATGCTTCATCTTCTTCAAAGCTACAACCACTTCTTCCTTCCGGATTCGACGATAAAAAGAGTAGTTTCTACACTCTTCTGAGTTACTCAACTCCCCTAAAGAAGCACTCATTTCATGTCCTTCATTGAAAAGATTATGAAAATAACCTCTCCATCTGTCTTTAACCGCGTTCTCTGTAGCAAGAACCTTTCCATCCTCATCCTTGATGCACCTCACTTGGTTTAGGTCCCTTGTCTTCTTTTCCCTTGCTCTAGATAGTTTATAGATATCCAACTCTCCTTCTTTGGTATCTAGTCGTTTATACATATCATCGTAAGCCGCTAACTTAGCTTCTCTGACAGCTTTCTTCGCCTCTTGCTTCGCTTTTCTATACCTTTCACCATTTTCATCAGTCCTCTCCTTGTATAAGGCTTTACAACATTCCTTCTTAGCCTTCACCTTTTGTTTGTACCTCCTCATTCCACCACCAAGATTCCTTTTGGTGTGGGGCAAAGCCCTTGGACTCTCCTAATACCTCTTTTGCTACTTTTCGGATACAACTAGCCATGGAATCCCACATTTGGCTAGCTTCCCCCTCTCTATCCCACACACATTGGGTGATTACCTTCTCTTTGAAAATGGCTTGTTTTTCTTCTTTTAGATTCCACCATCTAGTCCTTGGGCACTTCCAAGTCTTGTTCTTTTGTCTTACTCTTTTGATATGTACATCCATCACCAACAAGCGATGTTGATTAGCCACGCTCTCTCCTGGTATAACTTTGCAATCCTTACAAGTTATACGATCCCTTTTCCTCATTAGAAGAAAATCTATTTGTGTTTTTGACGACCCACTCTTGTAGGTGATCACATGTTCTTCTCTCTTCTTAAAGAAGGTGTTGGCTAAGAAGAGATCATATGCCATTGCAAAATCCAAGATAGCTTCCCCATCCTCGTTTCTCTCCCCAAAACCATGGCCACCATGAAAACCTCCATAGTTGCCTGTCTCCCTGCACACGTGTCCATTTAAATCTCCTCCTATAAATAACTTCTCCGTCTGAGCAATTCCTTGCACCAAGTCTCCAAGATCTTCCCAAAATTTCTCCTTCGAACTCGTATCCAACCCTACTTGAGGTGCGTACGCACTAATCACATTGATAAGTTCTTGTCCTATTACAATCTTGATTGCCATGATTCTATCTCCTACCCTCTTGACATCTACAACATCTTGTACCAAGGTCTTGTCCACGATGATGCCAACACCGTTTCTCGTTCTATTTGTGCCCGAATACCAAAGTTTTAAACCCTGAGTTTTCTAGATCCTTTGCCTTACTACCAACCCACTTAGTTTCTTGTAGGCACATAATATTTATCCTTCTCCTCACCATAACTTCCACTACTTCCATAGATTTTCCCGTTAAGGTTCCTATATTCCACGTTCCTAAACGCATTTTGCTCTCTTGAACTCTACCCTTCTGTCCTAGCTTCTTCACCCTCCCCCGTCTAATAGGATCAAAGTACTTCTTTTGTGTGTCCCGGGTAAAGTTGATAGGAGCATATGCTCCCAAACAACTTTGAGTGGAGTCGTTCGAAAAGAAGTTTCTATGGCCCCCTTGCTCATTTAACACTGCATCCGGGTGCCGATGGAGATACAGCGACCCTTGCTCACTTATCACTGTGCTCAGGCCACACAGCGCGCCACTTACGGGTGACGCCCTAGCTTTAGCGCGATTTTGTTCTGGATTCATTTTCATAAGGATTCGACGTGATCATGGAGTGCCGGCTGTCGACTACCGAATGTGTTGTACATAAACATACCAGATAACTACTATGGATATAAGATGGTTGAATGGCAACCGGAAATGAAGGGTATTCAGATTTGAAAGCATTGGCTCTCTGAAGAGCCAGAGCTTTTTCGCTTTTGGTCAATGAATGTTCCCTCCCAAGAACATCAGGTGTTCGTTTTTGGAATATTTGACTGCTAGACAAGCCTCCAACTTCTTTCATTGTGGAAAAATCATGTTCTCCTGTCAGATATTACAAGAAACATGAAGTGGCATCTTAATTCTTTTGGTAGGAAAGCAGAATGAGGTAAAAGATAAAAATAAAAACTAAATATACGTTCCTTACTTTTCACTTCTGATTTAGAGCAATATGAGCCTCTGCTTCTGAATGACTTCTTGATTTCAAAAGGTTGAGTCTTTGTTGCTGGGAAGTTGGTGTTGCATTCCGCTGCTTTACTACTCGAACATGTTCTCATTTTCTTGTGTAGAAATGGTAATGGAGATTTCTCCCTTGTTTTTCTTGGGCAGGGTGAAAAGTCGTCCAAGATTTCGACCGAGTCATCATCTTCATAATCTGTTTCTTCCTCCTCAGGTATTGTTGGATCGTCTTGTACTTCATCAGAATCTCTACTAATATCATCATTAGAATGATCATCATGTTTATCAGTTTCTTCCAACTTGGGCATTACCAGTGATATATCCCTTGATTTTCTCGGGCACAGATCATCCAAGATTTCGACAGATTTATCATCATGGTCTTCATAACCAGTTTCCAAATTCAAGCCTCCACTGCATTCTTTTCCAGCATAAGGATCGTGAGAGCTAGACGTGCCAATTTCCCACTTTCCCTGATCCATAGCTCTAGCTCCTTTGGCATGGCCGCCTTACCAAGAATAAAAAAGAAAATAACAAATCATGTGTAAGTTATGCATTCGTAACTGAGCACAAATCGAATATAACAACTTATTACATGTAAACCTGGAGACAAGGAGCAGTTTGCAGCTTCTGTACCCCGGTAAAAGACAACTTCAAATGCAAGTTCAATGCCCTTAATCAAGATAAACACACACACATCTCCAGTTTTCAAATTATTGTCCCTTACAAATTCCAACCAACCACGCTTGAATCGTACTTTCTGTTGTTTATATAATTTGAGTTTAACACACCAAGTTCCTCCGTCAGGAAGACGAAGGATGGCATTACCATGAGGCTGATGCATAAGATGTCTCTTGGCAAACCCCGCCGGCAAAACCTTAAACAGAAAAAGAAGTATATGTTTATTTGAAAAGCGAAAATATTAGATTATTACTTGTGCAAGGGTATTTACCAAATTGCCGAATATGTAGGAGGGCTGCATGGCAACTTTGAAGTGAGGCTTTTCAGATTTGAAAGCAATTGCTCTCTGAAGAGCTATAGCTTTATCTTTTTCAGTCAATGGATGCATCCTTGAATAGCTCTTTCTTTTTTTCTTCGGAGGCAAAGGACATGGTAAAGATGAATATCTCTCCCCTTTTCTTCTTCGGCTTGTGAGAAAATCATCCAAGATTTCAACCGACTCGTCATCTTCGTAATCGGTTTTTTCCTTGTCCGGCAATTTTATGGGATAGTCAACTTCTGTGCAACTTCTATCGAATATGAAGACGTGGAATCTTGAATTCCCTTCATACCCGAAAACAAGCCAAAAAGCGTAGTCAAGAGAGTAAAACTTGGAGAACTCCGGCCAACCCTTCTCAAACCAAACCTCACCATTACATCTTCTCAGTTCTATTTCCCATTCTGAACCACATGGAAGTCTAAGATATACTGGACTTGATAACTCTTCTCCATATTTCATCACAAATTTCATCGGAACTTTCTGCTCATGTCAAAATCTAAGTTAAAAGAACAATTTCTAATCTTTTTGTGGGCAACAAATGAATATCTCCATAACCAAGTAAACATTTTTACGAGTGCATAATGAGAGAGAGAGAGAGAGAGAGAGAGAGAAGCTTACAAGTTTGGTGTCTCTCGTTGTGTCATCAAGAATAACTTTGAAAAAATGGGGTGTCGTAGATGAAAATGTTGGCCGTAAAGAAGCCATGGTTGAACTGATTCAAAAGCTTTGGGTTTGGAGATGGTTGAAGTTTGATATCATATGTGATAGATAAATTCGGAAAGAGATCTCTCCTTTCCTCCTAATCTATCGTCAAATCAAAGAATTCGTACAATTAAAAATTAATTCAACGATAAATTGATTTTAAAAATTATAATAATTTTAACAATTAGTTTAAAATTTAACGATACAAATTCCTTAATTTGATATATTAGAAGAAAATGATCATCCGGATCCCTTACCGATAAATTCTCTTGTAAATTACCGACAAGACAGGTTAATCTCGAGAAGTGAGAAGCGTGGAAAGAGATTATCCTCAGGAAACAGAATCTAGTGATTTTTAGTCAGCTGAATAGTCACTGCTTCTTAGTCTCAGTACTTACTACAACTAGCTACATCCCAACGGACTGCTATGATTGGTTTTCATGAATTCTTTATTAATCTTCTTTTTCTTAAAAAGTTTATATTCTTTGTCATACTCATATCTAATGAAGGAAAAATCGAGCTTAAATGTTACATTTTAACTTAAATTAAAAGTTATATTTGGGGTTTGATATAAAATTTGAGTCTATGATGAATGAAGCACACGCACGCTATTTTTTTGAGTTTTTAAAATTTAATTGTTTAGTTTTCATTTTTTTTGTTATTAGGTTTCATTTTATTAAAATAAAAATAATTGTCGAACAAGTTTTTAATTTTTATTTTTTTTTAAATTAAAAGCTAAAACGAAATACTATCAAACGACCTTAGTCTTTCAATAGTTGAGTTGATGTTAGTTAACTATAATTGTCCGTGAATTAAGAGGAAATTTTCTAATTCAAAAAATAAATGCAATGCAGTTAAATTTGTATTACAAAAATATAGGTACAACCTTGTTTGTACCATACTTGACCAATCCCGAAACTACTGAACACCGATCAATGTTATACCGTCAAGGACCCAGAAGAGTTTCCCTCCAACCAGGAGGCCAATCACAGCACGACACGTGTTGATATCAGAAGCCAATCATAGCGCAACACGTGTCAACATCAGAAGCCAATCACAACACAACACGTGTCAATGTTAGAATGAAACTAGAACCTATCTTCTATAAATAGAGATCATTCTCTCACAATATTTCCTAATGTCATTTGTACTAAATCATTCACTTGTACTCATTAAAGGAAATCTTGAACCTATGTACTTGTGTAAACCCTTCACAATTAATGAGAACTCCTCTACTCCGTGGACGTAGCCAATCTGGGTGAACCACATACATCTTGTGTTTGCTTCCCTGTCTCTATCCATTTACATACTTATCCACACTAGTGACCAGAGCAATCTAGCGAAGGTCACAAACTTAACATTTTCTGTTGTACCAAAGTCCTCACTGATTTGGTGCATCAACATTTAGCACCGTTTGTGGGAAACGACACTTATTCCCACTCTCTTCAGCTTTGTCAAGCTAGTTTCCACAATTTGTACACTCTCTTTTGACCAGGCATCCCTCTCTAACATGGGGAGTGAATAAAGCCAAAACACACAGAATGATACCCCTCTTGCACCTAGTGCGAAGCAACGAAAAAATGAAGGAAAAAGGGTTGCTCTTCAAGCTAAAGTCGATGAGCTAGAAGCTCAAAACAACAAAATAGCAATGAAGAATGAGGTCTTCCAGAAGCAGTATGAGAAGCTCTTTGAGACGCTCCACGAAACTATACGTATTCAAACACGCGAGCTTGTTGCCCCTGTGGACATCAACCATCATCTGGGTGCCCCCCAACACGGAGGGTCATCTTTCTTCGACATGGGTATCCCTAATGAGGAGCGAGCTAATCATCAAAACATTGATCAACATGAGACTTTTCTCAACCCAGCTGCTTCGACCCGAAGCAGGAGAAGTGGAGGAAGACACCTCATTGCAGAAGGGTTGGAAGGATCGAAAACTGTTTATCGTGACTGCCGAGACTTCCTAAAGCAACGTCGAGAGAATCCCCTCCACATATGCTCGAAGATCAATGACCCAAGGGTTTCTGAAAAACTCGGTCCCCTCCCACGACCTAGGCCAACTGCCAATCTAGGGAAGGAACGACATGTCCTAGAGGAACATGAAGGTACATGGGATTCTAAGGTATTCCGACAGACTCACCCTAGAAGTCAGTATAGCGAGTCTAAGGAAAAATCACATGCCCTTACTCAAACTTTCCTACTTCAAAGAAGCGATGGAGACTTACGAAAGAAAATCCCAGTGGTACATGACTCCACTCAAGACCCCATTGTCCTACAGCTCCTTGAGGAAGTAAACAAGTTAAAGGCTGAACGTCAGGCCAAGATACCTGACTGGAACCAACCCAAGCATGGCCCTCTCACAAGGAGGATCCTTGACACCTCCCTTCAAGCGAAGACAAAACAAAAGCTTGGTTTACAACTCTATACTGGAAGGGAGGACACAATTGAACACCTTAACCTCTTTGAGTCCACCATGGCCTATCGGATGCACACCGACGAAAAGCGATGTCTTCTCTTCCCCTCTACCCTCTATGGCGGAGCTCTAAACTGGTATTGCCATCTTCCACCTGAGACAATAGACTCATTTGAGGAACTAAGGAAACTGTTTATCTTTCAACACATCTTCTAGACCGATCGCTTGCATTCTGCAGATGACTTGCACACTATTCGCCAAAAACCGGACGAGTTACTACGAGAGTATGCTGGTCGTTTCAGCCATGAGTATTCTCGTTGCGCTAAGGCAGATGACAAGACCGCCTTCAAGGCCTATATGATTGTTTCTTGAAGTACATGATTAATGCCAACACTTAGAAGATTTACTCTGAGGTGATGGCACATGCTTACAACCATGCCTCCGCCGAGGCAATAACATATCAAGGGAAACCCCCCACAACCACCCCTTATCAGCAAGTAGGGAATGGAAGCCAGATCCAACCAAATGAGAAGACCTCGACCTTCCAAACGGCAGCGGTGCCTTCCCCTGCCTTACTTAATACTTTGCCAAGTTAACAGACATATCAATCTCAGGGCAAAAGGAAAGAATTTCATCCTCACTAGTCTCATTTTAGTAAAAAGAGTAAGGGACACTACCGTGATAACCAAGGGTATCGCCATGATAATCCCGACCCCAGGCAGTCAACACAGTGGGTCAAGCACGTGTCAGGACAGCTTCTACCCTGAGGTATGAGGCATACACACATTTGAACGCCACATGCGTGGCTATTTACCCCAGCATAGCACACTTGATACCGAAGCCAAAGCCGAGGCACCCGGATTACAAGCTCATGAAGAACACGGGCACATTTTGCTGCTACCACGAGCATAATGGCCATGATGGCGAGAAGTCTATCACCCTTCATGATCATATTGAAGCTTTGGCACGTGAAAGAAAAATTGATCAATTCCTCATTCACCCTCCAAGGGGTAACCGTAACCAACGCCAGGTAAATGTTATATATTCCATAAGCAGTGGCACACTCATATCTAAATCTTCCAACAGGGCCATGAAAAATAGTGAACGAGCTTTAAGGTCTGGCCACCAAGTGTTTCACGTGGAAGACATCAGGGGAGGTAAGTATCAAAAGCCTAACTGGGATCCAATATGTGCCTAACTGGGATCCAATATGTTTCTACCCTGAGGAAGAAAGAGGTATCATCTACCCTCATAATGACCCACTGATCGTGGAAGCTCACATAGCCAACTTTGAAGTACGACGAATCCTGGTAGACACAGGGGCTTCGGTCAATATCATGTTTGCTGAAGCTTTCAGGGCACTTAATGTAGCTGAACACTTGCTCGACCGCTCAATTTCCCCTTTGATAAGCTTCTTCGGTGATATCGTGCAACCTTTGAGGAGCATACACTTACCTTTCACCATTGGTACAGGCCCTTACATAGCTATCATTACATCACCAACCTATCTGAAACTTTCACCATTCTGAAGAGGTATCGAATGAGGTTGAACCCCAACAAATGTGCCTTGGCAAACCGCGCCGGCAAAACCTTAAACAGAAAAAGAAGTATATGTTTATTTGAAAAGCGAAAATATTAGATTATTACTTGTGCAAGGGTATTTACCAAATTGCCGAATATGTAGGAGGGCTGCATGGCAACTTTGAAGTGAGGCTTTTCAGATTTGAAAGCAATTGCTCTCTGAAGAGCTATAGCTTTATCTTTTTCAGTCAATGGATGCATCCTTGAATAGCTCTTTCTTTTTTTCTTCGGAGGCAAAGGACATGGTAAAGATGAATATCTCTCCCCTTTTCTTCTTCGGCTTGTGGGAAAATCATCCAAGATTTCAACCGACTCGTCATCTTCGTAATCGGTTTTTTCCTTGTCCGGCAATTTTATGGGATAGTCAACTTCTGTGCAACTTCTATCGAATATGAAGACGTGGAATCTTGAATTCCCTTCATACCCGAAAACAAGCCAAAAAGCGTAGTCAAGAGAGTAAAACTTGGAGAACTCCGGCCAACCCTTCTCAAACCAAACCTCACCATTACATCTTCTCAGTTCTATTTCCCATTCTGAACCACATGGAAGTCTAAGATATACTGGACTTGATAACTCTTCTCCATATTTCATCACAAATTTCATCGGAACTTTCTGCTCATGTCAAAATCTAAGTTAAAAGAACAATTTCTAATCTTTTTGTGGGCAACAAATGAATATCTCCATAACCAAGTAAACATTTTTACGAGTGCATAATGAGAGAGAGAGAGAGAGAGAGAGAGAAAAGCTTACAAGTTTGGTGTCTCTCGATGTGTCATCAAGAATAACTTTGAAAAAATGGGGTATTGTAGATGAAAATGTTGGCCGTAAAGAAGCCATGGTTGAACTGATTCAAAAGCTTTGGGTTTGGAGATGGTTGAAGCTTGATATCAAATGTGGCAGATAAATTCGGAAAGAGATCTCCGCGGATCTTTCTTTCTAATCCACCAAAAATCAAAGAATTTGTGTTGTTAAAAATTAATCTAACACAAACCAACTTTAAAAGTTATAATAACTTTAGCAATTGGTTTAAAATTTAATGACATAATTCTCTAATTTGATAGATTAGAAGAAAATAATCATCCGGATCCTTTCCAATAAATTCTCTTGTAAATTACCGACAAGACAGGTTAATCTCGAGAAGTGAGAAGCGTGGAAAGAGATTATCCTCAGGAAACAGAATCTAATGATTTTAATCAGCTGAATAGTCACTGCTCTTTAGTCAGTACTTACTACAACTAGCTACATCCCAACGGACTGCTGTAATTGGTTTTCATGAATTCTTTATTAATCTTTTTTTTCTTAAAAAGTTTATTTTCTTTGTCATGACTCATATCTAATGAAGGAAAAATCGAGCTTAAATGTCACATTTTAACTTAAATTAAAAGCTATATTTGGAGTTTGATACAAAATTTGAGTCTATGATGAATGAAGCACACGTACGCTATTTTTTTGAGTTTTTAAAATTTAGCTGTTTAGTTTTCATTTTTTCGTTATTAGGTTTCATTTTTTTAAAATAAAAATTATTTTCAAACAATTTTTAATTTTTAATTTTTTTTTTAAATTGAAAACTAAAATGAAATACTATCAAACGACCGTAGTTTTTCAATAGTTGAGTTGATGTTAGTTAACAGTAATTGTACGTGAATTAAGAGGAAATTTTCTAATTCAAAAAATAAATGCAATGCAGTTAAACTTGTATTACAAAAATATAGGTACAACCTCATTGGAGGAAATACTCTCCATGATGTGACCAACCCTTCACGTATCAAAGTAGACCTGACATTTGTATCGTGTTTTTCGTGTTTGTATCATTTTCATGATATACCTGATATATTAACGGGTTGTGTCATATAACATCCGTTAAAGTAAACGAGTAATATGATCCAACCCGAAATCGACCCATTAATATTATCAAGTAATATGACTCAACCCGTTACCCATTAAAGAAAATATATCTTAAATCAATAAATAATGGAAATGAAAAGCACAATTTGACCTCAAAAAAAATTGAAAACATAATATTAAATGTGTATATGTATATAACATTGTCACATAAATCTTACTTCAAAACATAAAAACAACATTTGTCTTTTAAGTATTACATACTCTAGCCACTCAGTACTATGGTCTGATGATATTCCTCTTCACTCAGTACTACGGGCTTAGGTTGCTCATTGTGTGACTTAGCCGAGCTCCCTTATCTCGAGTCGATTCTAGTCTTGTTGGTTATGCTGACACAAAATACTTATCTGATCCACACAAGGCGCGTTCTCAAATGAGTTATGTCTTTATCGTTGGAGGCACCTCAATCTCTTGGAGGTCAACTAAACAGACCTTAATTGCCACTTCGTCTAACCATACTAAAATTCTTGCCTTAAACAAAGCAACTCGGGGATGCTTTTACTGTAAAAAAAGTATTACATACTCCAAAATAAGAGTCTAATGAAAAACATTAGTACATTACTACAAAATACCAAATGTTCAAGGATATGCAAAACGAAAGCAGTTGCGTTTCAAGGTTGAGGAAACCTTGCACGTTTTTTACAGTAAAACCCTTCAATTTTCATCAGTCACCAAGGGAAATGATATTGGTTCATTTTGAACTCCCTTAAAAATACTATTCATGAGGGTTTGTATGGTTCTAAAAATTCAAACCACAATGTACCCATCCTTAAAGCGTACTGGATGCGATCATGAGCGTTTACATATTTTTTCACATTTTTTGCACTTATAAATTAATTATTATATATTTTTTAATGTGTTTGATATTTTTAAATTACTTGATAATTTTATTTTTAATGTGTTTTATCATTTTTTAATCTTACTCCTTGCCTATAGTATATTATAAAAATAAATAAAACTTAAAATGTTTAAATTATATAGAATAATAATTCAATAATACATATTTTAATATTCACTATATACATATACACTATAACTTTTTTCTTAACGTGTCGAAACAGGTTACCCGCGTGTCACTTTCATGTTAACCTGTTAAAGACCTGCTAATAACGAGTTCTTATTGTGTGACCCGATTAGTTATTGTGTCAAATCAAAATCTTTTATTTTCGTATCGTGTTAACGGATTGTGTAAGAAATTGGCAAGTGTATATCAAAATCAATTAACTTATTGAAAAATCAATTCAAAGAATAAAAATAATGAATAATGAATCTTACAAATAATATCTGGTCAGCAGGTTCAAAGAAAACGATTTTTTTTTTTTTTTTTGTAAATCAGATGAATATACTATGAATGCCATGTTACTCTATCACGCTTGATAATCCATCGTAGTCAATCCATTTTCTTGTTGTGTGAGTTCAAACACGAACTAATGTCGTTTGATACATCATCTGCACAACGAAAGTTTAAATATTAATAGTCAATCCATTTTCTTGTTGAAAACGTGTACCTGCGATTTTTACAAAAGTTTAAATATTAATGTAGTCAAAGTAAGATGATCAATACAAATTTGAGCGCACATTCAAGGAGCTAAAACAAAATAGCTTAGTTGTCGTTGTGTGGGAGAAAAAGGAAGACGTAAGTTTACCGGGCTATGGACAACAATGGAAGTATTAGCCCCCGAGTTTGACAAATCACACTACAACAAAAAGGGGCTAAGAACATAATTGATTTGTGCTCTTTACATTTTCATTCAACACAAAACCATACTTATGCTTTTTAAATGTCATTGAGCACAAAACTAACTCAAATATGCCCTCTGAGCAAAAAGACACATCGAAAAAGAAAAACAGGAAAGTGTATTTGTGCCTACTAAAATGAGCTTGCATATGTCCTTTTAATGTCAGAAATGAAATATTTTTTTATTAATTTACAAAGACACAATAAAGCTTTCGTGTCCTCTAATTTAATATATTTAAATTAGAAAGTAAAGTTTTGTGTCCTTTACATTTACTACACGCCTCACTCTCTCTCCCTCCCTCAATTCCTCCGCCCCTCCTTTATTTGCTTTCTCTCTCTCTTAAACTCTCCTTGTTCTCAGTTTCCAAAAAAAAATAAACTCTCCTTGTTCTCAGCCATCTTCCTCCCTCCCACATCCTCTCTCCCTCTTCTCTTTCACGCAACAGCGCCGCCGTCCACTGATCACCACGGTCGTCAAATTATGCCTCCAGAATCCTCTTCCCATCCTCTTCCGAACCCCCCTTTTAGTTTCTACAAATTCGTAGCCGAATTTCCTCAATTTCAGATCTAAGAAACGATTCTTACCGCGGATTTTCCAACCAATTTCTGGCCAAGTCTTCCGGAATTGGACCTCGATTAAAGAGGTAAAAATGATCCTCTCATCGTGGGCTGTCCTCCAGTGTAAGTGATTTTTCAAAATAAAAACTTTCAGTTTTGTGATTGATGAGTTTTCAAAATAATTGTCTAATTAAGTTAATCTGAAGTACTGGCATGTTTGCATTAATTTAGGGCTCTATGAGTTTTTAGGAAGCACTTAACGATAATTGAGTTTTAAATTGATTTTGAATCTACGAAACCCGTTGGAGCCATTGAGTTTTTGGTTTGTTCTTTCAGTTTTAAATGTAATAAGGATTTTACAATTATGGACGTGCGTGTTTGTTCGTATCTAGCTCTGGACGAAATGGAGTTTTAAAATAGGAAAAATTAGTATCCGGTCCCTAGTTTTTACTGTTCATTGACTAAGACCTTATTAGTTCTCAAATTTTGATTCAAGTCCCTAGCATTAATGTGATAATGAATTTACATGTTTATTATATAATTTTTTTAATATAAAAATTAGTAATTAATTTAGGGTTTAATACTCACACCTCTATTAAACTTCTAATTAATTTTCAATTCAAACATTTCCAAAATAATAAAAAATTAAATTAAATTAAAAAAAAGATTCTCAATTTTTTAATCTTAAATGTACCCATTCATATAATTTTTCAATTTTTTTAATCTTAAATGTACCCATTCTCAAATATATAAATTTGTTATATGTAAAATGTACCATTTTTTTAATATAAAATCCATTCAAATTTTTTAATCCATGTTTAAACTTATATGGGTACATTCTTTTTCGTTGATTTGAGAATGTATCCATATTTTGGTACAATAACTTTTTTTGTTAATTTTGGTTAATGTACCCATACATATATGTATACACACACACACACAATATAATAGAGAGTATAATTTATATTTTATTATTTTTAATCCCATAAATTATGGGTTTTATTTAAAATCTCATTAATATAAACAATTACAAATTTCAATTTTTAATTTTTAAGTAAAAAAATATAGTAACTTACATTATTACTTTAATGTCAGGGACCTCAATCAAAAACTAAAAACTAACAAGGTTTCAATTAAAGAATATTGATAGCTAGGGACCGCATCCAAAGTGTCCCTTTAAAATATCACCACATTGGAACTCAAGAAAGAAATAATCCAGAGGTTCCGTTTGAGAAGGCTTCCCTCGTGCTGAGTGAATGTTATTCCCTGTATTATTTTTATTCATCCTCTCTCCTGTTCTACCATTGATAAACAAATATTCATATTATATCTTTAATTCACGGTAGGAGTTAGGAAAATGCAATAAGATTTCGCTGGAGGATCTTTTTCACATTTTAGTATCCCCCTATTCCTCTCTACTTCTCTTCTCCCTCTCTAAATGTTTTCTTCTACCATATAAGTATCGAGTAAAATTGCTTCTCTTAGCTCTCTGAGGAAAGTTTAGGTGTTAATTTTCTCTTTTCCACAACCCATAAAATTTGTTCCTTTTCTGCTTTCTTGGTATGCAGCTGGAGTGCTACAACTCTTTTCTACAGGTTTTTTCAGGCCAATATTATGATTGGATATAAAACTATTAGAAGTTGTTTCAAGATACAAGACTTATGTTGATGTTTCCCATCTGAGACATGTGGTGCCCCTATCAGAGGGTCTGTATTTGTGGTGGCGTGATGCTGCTCAAGCAACCCTGCAGCAGAAGAAAGTGTGGTAATACATATATTATACGCTACACTTGATAGATAAAAGTGTATCTATATACTCTTTTATGGTATATGCTTGTATGCCTGTTTACGGCCTGGTATTCAAGGCTTTTTTGTCAGCTTCTTATTTTTACAATATTCCTTTAAATTTTATAAATAAAAATATTGGAATTGAGTTGAAGGTTGTATTTGCTTTTCAAATATTTGGTGAAACTTCTCACTGCATGCTTTTGGATGTATTTTACAAATCGATGTACTTTTATGAATTTCCCATCTTGGTTCTGACTTCACACTTGTTTTCTTGAATTAGTTGCCGATCCTCTTGGGACCTCATTCAAGATCTTTGTCAGCTTTGTCGCCGTTACATTCAGTTGTACGCTGGTTCACTACAACACTCGTCAATTATTAATAATGCAGAAATTAGAGAAATTGAGGAAGATTTGGATTCTAACATAATTCTTTTATGGAGGTAAATGTTTTATCGACCTTTTGACTTCATTGCTATTTATTAAAATTGATTGTAGGAGAAGTGGAGCCTTCACAAAGGTTGCTTAGGAGAAGTCTCAGCAGTCGGTAGAGCCCCAGAAAGAGAAGGCATCGGAGGGGGATCATTCGGAGCCTCAGTACTGGATAGAACCCTAGAATGAGGAGGCATCAGAGGTTGATCATTTGGAGCTCCATTACGCGGTACAGCCCCAGAAGACGAAGGCAATAAATGCCTTTGGAACAAACCCACAAATCTCTGATGATCAAGTAAAACCTGACCATCAGTTTCCTTCATCTGGTCAAGCTTCCTCTTCATGTTTGTAGCATAGTCATGTGCGAGCCGGTGCAACTGTTTATTCTCATGCTTGAGCCCTCTAATCTCCTGTTTGAGACTCATCACTTCGGCCGCCAATGATTCAACTTGGCGGGTTCGAGCAAAATAGGCGTTGGGCCATATTAGACACAGAACCTGCACACTGAACACTGAGAGCCAGCGAATCCTTAACAGCTAACTCATCAGACCGTTTGGAAAGTAGTCTGTTATCTTTGGGAGTGAGAAGGTTCCTGGCCACCACCGCAGCGGTCATATCATTCTTCATCACGGAATCCCCAACGGTAAGAGGACCAGTAGGGGAGACGAAGGATGGGCGCCATATGTTGTCTGGAGAAGGCGGGGCTGCCTCTTCAACAAGGTTCAAGTCAAAACGACGGTCGGAGGGGCCAGACATTTTCAAAGGTGTTGAAGAGAGAAGAGGTCGGACAAATCAAGATCTTATAAGTGCAAGAATGGAGCTTCTACTGGTGGAGATTCAAGTGTGCTTTGGAACTTAATGCCAGCCCCTATAAAAAGCTGCACTCGACGGAGCCTCAGACATCGAAGAGGCGCCTGCTCAAAAATCGAAGAGGCGTTTGCTTTCTCAAAAGCTGGGCTGCTTAGAGACCACGAGGGTTGATCTCATAAATCGAAGTGGTGTTTGCTTTCTCAAAAGTTGGGCTGCTCAAAGATCATGAAAGCCGATCTCAGAAATCGAAGAGGCGCTCGCTTTCTCAAAAGCTGGGCTCCTCAGAGACCACGAGGGCCGATCTCAGAAATTGAAGAGGCACCTACTTTTCCAGCCTTGTCAGCACCTGTCACACGCACACTCAGCTTTGCGGAAATTATGGGTATTCTGTCGAAGACTTCTGGGGAAGTAGAAAACACATGAATCTTACTGTCCAATCACCCACTTCCCACACGCAACAATAGCTCATGGGTACCACAGAACTTTGCCAAAGTTCTCTGCCAAAGTTGAGCACGTGAAGCTTGCAGCTCCCACTACATCGCTCTGACCAAGAAGGGTAAAAGAATAGTAAAGAAACAGCACTAACAAAGTTTAGACCCATAAATTTTGAAGGTCTAGCTACCATATTATTACCCACAAGGGTAAAGGAACAGTACCACTGCTGGATAATTGGAAAGTCCCTGTGTGTCAACCTCTGTGCCTCGTGGCAAGGTAGACTAGCAAACATGCCCAACCTTTACTCACATTCGAGAAAACACTCCCAATAAGATTGCTTGCTCCAAAATCGAAGAGGCACCGTTTTCCGAATCTCGAGAGCCAGACTCCCAACATGACTACTTTCTCAAAAATCGAAGAGAGGGTAAAGGAACAGTACCATTGCTGGATATTTGGAAAGTCCCTGTGTGTCAACCTCTGTGCTTCGTGGCAAGGTAGACTAGCAAACATGCCCAACCTTTACTCACATGCGAGAAAACACTCCCAACAAGATTGCTTGCTCCAAAATCGAAGAGGCAACCGCCCTCTGAATCTCGAGAGCCAGACTCCCAACATGATTACTTTCTCAAAAATCGAAGAGACACTGCTCCCCGAATCTCGAGAGCCAGACCCCCAGCATGATTGCTTTCTCAAAAATCGAAGAGGCATCGTTCTCCGAATCAATCGAAGAGGCGCTCGCTTTCTCAAAAGCTGGGCTGCTCAGAGACCACGAGGGCCGATCTCAGAAATCGAAGAGGCACCTACTTTTCTAGCCTTGCCAGCACCTGTCACACGCACACTCAGCTTTGCGGAAATTATGGGCATTCTGTCGAAGACTTCTGGTGAAGTAGAAAGCACATGAATCTTACTGTTCAATCACCCACTTCCCACACGCAACAATAGCTCATGGGTACCACAGATAACTTTGCCAAAGTCTCTGCCAAAGTTGAGCACGTGAAGCTTGCAGCTCCCACTACATCGCTCTGACCAAGAAAGGTAAAAGAATAGCAAAGAAACAGCACTAACAAAGTTTAGACACATAAATTTTGAAAGTCTAGCTACCATATTATTACCCACAAGGGTAAAGGAACAGTACCACTGCTGGATAATTGGAAAGTCCCTGTGTGTCAACCTCCGTGCTTCGTGGCAAGGTAGACTAGCAAACATGCCCAACCTTTACTCACATCCGAGAAAACACTCCCAACAAGATTGCTTATTCCAAAATCGAAGAGGCACCGCCCTCCGAATCTCGAGAGCCAGACTCCCAACATGATTACTTTCTCAAAAATCGAAGAGACACTGCTCCCCGAATCTCGAGAGCTAGACCCCCAGCATGATTGCTTTCTCAAAAATCGAAGAAGCATCGTTCTCCGAATCTCGAGAGCCAGATACCACATACCACTTTTTCAAAGTGCTCTGACAGAGTTAAAACATGTGAAGCTGGCAGCTCCCACTACCGTGCTATGACCAAGCAGGGTAAAGGAATAGCATTACTACTTGTTGTTAGGGAGACTCCTATATATGTCGACCTCCATCCCTAACGGACAGGCAGACCTGCAAAAATGCTCAACCCTTCCTCATATCTGAGAGGGCACTCCCAACGAAGCCTTTCGAAATATTCAGCTTTCTTTCCCCCCGATAATACCTCTGCAAACAAGCTATACTAGAGCAAGAATATCTCATATCATCAGGGTTAAAAGCAAGAGTATCCCATATCATGCTTTTTCCCTGTCTTTTCCTTTGGCCTTGTTTTTACCTGCAAGACAAGGAGAAAGAGAGCAATCAGTCAGCACTTGAAATCAAGCTCCCAGCCAGGAACTGACTGCCTGGAACCCCTTACCTGATTACTTACCTGGCATTGCTCTCGAGTACTCATCTTCAACATCTTATGTTTCCAGGGAAGATACCGCATCTGCTTGAGGAACAGATAGGGCAAGTGCGAAGGATACAAGGAAGCATGTGGAGACAAGCGTAACAGCACACGTGCCGATACATCCATTACTCTGTCAAAAGCAAAAGTATCCCATATCAGCAGGGTCGAACGTATTCTAGATTTGATGGACTTGTTTTGACCCTCAAATTCTTCAGTCGGCCTTATACTCTGGAGGAAACCAGAAAACCCTCCAGCTCAGTTCAAGAATAAGCCTGTGGAAAGTTACTTCTTCAAAAGCAAAAGTATCCTATATCATATCTTCTCATTTTTCTTCTCTTTATCCTTCATGCTGCTGCAAGATGGGGAGAAGGTGAACAATCAGCTGGAGCTCTGATTGCTTACCTTGTCTGTCACCTCTTTCAGCAGATCCCCTAGCTCGGCGACTTGGGGGACTCCTACTACATGGTTTGTATCGCGCTTGACCAAGCCTGAAACTACAAGTAAATTTCAAGTGAAATTGATACATTACCTTGTGCATCTCCACCAGTTAAAGATACCACCCCTGGATGGAGGAAGAGTACTTCCAGAGAAGCTGCCATATCTACCTATGAGACAGATAAGGCAAGTCAAGATGATACCACACTCCGATACTTAGAAGTTTCGTGATTACGAGATCATTCTCCCACAATATTTCCTAATTTCATTTGTACTCTAATGTCATTTGTACTAAATCATTCACTTGTACTCACTAAAGGAGAGCTTGAACCTATGTACTTGTGTAAACCCTTCACAATTAATGAGAACTCTTCTATTCCGTGGACGTAGCCAATCTGGGTGAACCACGTACATCCTGTGTTTACTTTCCTATCTCTATCCATTTATATACTTATCCACACTAATGACCGGAGCAATCTAGCGAAGATCACAAAAAGCGACCGTTTTCGCTACCTAGGATCTATCTTGCAAGAGAACGGAGAATTAGATGGAGATCTCAACCATAGAATACGAGCTGGATGGATGAAGTGTAAGAGTGCATCCGGCGTGTTGTGTGACCGTCGTAGGCCACTGAAGCTCAAGGGAAAATTTTATAGGACGGCAATAAGGCCAGCGATGTTGTATGGCACAAAATGTTTGGGTGGTGAAACATCAACATGTACACAAAATGGGTGTAGCGGAGATGAGGATGCTTCGTGGGATGTGTGGGCACACGAGAAAGGATAAGATTGAGAATGAGGATATCCGAGGTAAAGTAGGAGTAGCCGAAATTGAAGGAAAGATGAGAGAAAATCGGTTCCGGTGATTTGGACATGTGCAAAGAAGGCCGACTGACGCTCCGGTTCGAAGATGTGACTACGGGACAGAGGTTCAGGGCCGAAGGGGTAGAGGAAGACCTAGGAAAACTTTGGAAGAGACTCTAAGAAAAGGCTTAGAGTACTTGGATCTAACGGAGGACATGACACAAAACCGAGCGCAATGGCGTTCTAGGATTCATATAGCCGACCCCACTTAGTGGGAAAAGGCTTTGTTGTTGTTGTTGTTGTTGTTGTTGTTGATTGTAGGTTTTTAGGGGATGCATAAATTCCATATTAACCTTGGCCTTACACCTCATAGTTGTTATTTTGGGTTCAAAGGACCACAGTTGAATTTGGATTGGATTTGGATTCTAGTGTATGGATTAGCAATTTAAACCCATTTGGTATGTTTCATATGGAATTTGCAAAGTGATTAGCTTTCATTCCCTTAAATTAGTTGGAATAAAATGTGATTGATGACATATGGAATTCTATTGTATGGATTAGCAGTTTAAACCCATTTGGTACATTGGACATTTAGTTGTACCAATAGAAAAATGTTCTCTCTTTTTGTCGGAGAAAATGAAAATGTTATTGTTATCATATATGTGTAAAGCTAATGAATTCTCAATGTTGATTGGATGTTTGGGTAGTTAAATATCACTGGAAATATGTGATCCTTTCCCTTTTTCATTTTTCCTTTGGTTTGGATTTCAGGAAGGTGATTACATAATCCACTGAGCTGGGAAAAAGGGTAAAATCAGTTATGGGTCGCTATATGTAGGAATGCATGGATACATTGATAGGAAAATCTCATTATTTTGTTGGTCTTTTATCTTGAACACTTGTAAACATGTTCTTTATGAGGAATATTTATGTAGTTTCATTATAGACATTCCATTTCTACTATTGAATTGCTTTTTACAGCCGAGACTGTCATCTTTGATTTTATGAAAATTTTAAATTTTTGGTTTTATTTCAAAATTTTACATTTCTATTTTTTTTTTAAACAGAACCTAATGGGCACAATAACAAAAATAATGCAAACATGGATGGAGAAGGTCATTTGACAAGTTTGTCAGAACATAGACACAAAAAGGCCTTTATTTGTGCCTGCCTCTTTGATTACCAAACAATTTATTGTGCCCTTTTAGCAATGGTGACGTCCATAAAGGGCACAGATAGAAAGTTAGTTGCTGCACTGTTGCTATTGGTCTATGAGCACATATGTTGGTGCTCTTTGGCCTCAAAGGGCATAGTGTGCAGTGCTCATATTTGTTATAGTGTCATAAGCAATTTCCATGCCTGAATTTCCAGGCCCAACGACCAAAACAATTTTCCCACCATATTTCGTGCAGTGCTCCTTGAATCCTTCCAAGCCTAGCACTTGAGGAATACATCATAACCTACCATTGTGAGGCTTAGCTCACTCTCACACACTAAGGTGTAGATAATATTGTTTTGTTCAAAAATAAAATAAAAAATAAAAATGTATTTGGAAGAGAGCCATGTTCATCGTTGATTTTCTTGTGCATAACTGGCCGGGCGCCACTCCCTCATGTCCACCGACCAGCCGAGCCAATTTCCAACACTTTCCGATAACCAGCCCATTAATTCACAACACAAGGCACTGACATCAAATTTGAATATGAGCAGATGCAATGAAATGTGAACATAGAACATCAATGATACAATGGCATGCATCTCATTAAGTCCAGGAACGTCCAAAACTATTGTAATTAGATGTTTGCACATAAGTAGTTGAAATTGAAGCAATATTAACTCATAATCCAACAGATATTCAGATATTTTTCTTATTTCCAAATGAAAAGAAGACTGAACCAAAAGGAGGCAAAAACCCATAAGGTCTACCAAAGCATCCACAAACAGTTCTAACAAAGAGCAGTGGAACCAACAAAGCAAAACCCTATCACGACAAACAACACCACAATAATCAACATCTAAATATGCAGACTTTCAGTGAGATATTATTTCTGTCGAGAAGTTCAAATATGCAAACATCTCCTTCTGTCAAACAATTTCCCTCAGCAAATGCAGCCCAGCCAGAGGATAATTTAAGTGCGTTATGCCAATGAACAGTCAAACTCACATGCCACATTCTATCGTCAACCCCAAGTGTCACAATTTGTTTCTTCTTTTCAATGAAGTGCTTGGAAAAACTAGTTGGAATACGCTGCACAAAATAGATATGTAGTATTAAACACGAGAAACACTAGTGAAAGTGAGTCTCAATAGCATTTTTCTTTTCTTTTTTTGAACCACAAAAGCATTTTTCTAAATACATAGAAAAAAAAAAACGATTTGAGTATGAATACATATGTGACGGATCAACGATGTATGGGTGGCACCTATGCATGATAATATTTGTAAATTGACGATTTCTGATGATGATTCTTAGCAATAAAATTTTGTTTCTGGCATTTATACATGGTTAAAAAAAATAAGTATTTGAATGTGAGATGGCCTTACATTTAACTTTCGCACTGGCCCTGTGTATAATGGAGATGATTAACAGGTATTAAGTTGTAACTTGTAAATATATGTTGTCAATGTTGGAAAATATTAGGATTTTAATTTATTTGAATATTTGGTTTTCTGAGCTTAGTCCGTTAGCATTAAAGTTTCGGTTTCTTACCTTTTTAGGTTAGGGTTAGTTTATTATAAATAACATGCTTGTTATTCAGTTGATAATTAAGTTATTCACAATGTAGTCTCTTAGGGGTTTTGTAGCCGTTCCGGCATTTTCATTTATTTAATAATATTCCTATTATTTTGTTAGTCTTGTTTGTTGCGCACTCTGATATTCAACTTGGTATCAGAGCGGGTTTGATCCTTAGGGTTCAATCCGTTCTCGTTGGTATCAATTTGTTTGTATCAGTTTTGTTTCCGTCATCTTCCGCTGTTTGTGTTTTCGTTTTAGATTTGTTAGTTGGTATTGATTGTTTGCAAGAAAAAAAAACAAGGAAAACAGAAAGGTTTTGCTGTTTGTTCGCATGAAAGAAAAAAGAAAGAAAAATGGGAAGGAAGGAAATGATAGAAAAAAAAAGCAAAAAGAGAAGGAAAAAGAAAAACAATTGTTTGTTGTTAGTTTAAGGTCCACGGGCAACAAGAAAAAAAAATGGTTAAGTTTGTTTTTAGGTCCACACGAGTTGTTGGCCTGTTTGAGATTGTTTTGTGACCGTCATTCTAGTACTTGGAATTGTGACTACTCGAGTGATAGTATTTGTGTTTGTTTGTTTGTTGCTACAATTGAGATATGAAAATCTCGTCCGTTTAGTGACGGGTTCTTTCCATACTCTCAACACTAGCCAATTTGAACCAGAACCAGTTTGCCAGCCAGAATCAAGTCAAGTCAAGTCAAGAATTAAGAATCAAGAACCAGTTTGCCAGTCAAGTCAAGTTAAGTCAAGTCAAGTCAAGTCAAGTTTGCCAGTCAAGTCAAGTCAAGTCCAGTCAAGTCAAGTCAAGTTTGCATACCTACCAATTTGCCTAACGGAGCCAGTCCGCATCTGCTTGTTTGCAAACCCATGTCGTATACCGCCATGAGTTTGACGGGGAGTGTTGGAAAATATTAGGATTTTAATTTATTTGAATATTTGGTTTTCTGAGCTTAGCCCGTTAGCACTAGGGTTTCGGTTTCTTACCTTTTTAGGTTAGGGTTAGTTTATTATAAATAACATGCTTGTTAGTCAGTTGAGAATCAAGTTATTCACAATGTAGTCTCTAGGGGTTTTGTAGCCGTTCCGGTATTCTCATTTATTTAATAATATTCCTATTATTTTGTTAGTCTTGTTCTTTGTGCACTCTGATATTCAATTGTCAATGAAACTTACCAACACACGGGATGACCCCAGACCATGGGTGACTCTGAAGAATGGATTGCTTGAAACGAACTTGTTGGCAGCTTCAAAAGCGCTAAAAGATGTATCGGAAGGCCCTTTAATAAAACCAACAAAGTATAATCATCATATTTCCTCGGCCAAAATTTTTGGTTAGACATAATTAAACTTATGCACCACAGAATACATTGTGCAGGACGTCCATTCTTTAAAGTGCATCAATATTGTCGAAAATGTATTCGATAATATGGTCTTACGTTTTGTTGACAATAATGCTATGGGCGAACGGACCTCAGCCAGTTCATTACCCATGGCAAATCAACAGTCAGTTCATTATTGAAGAATGGACCACAGTTTCATTACTGAACTAACCTATACAAACCTAGTCATGGTGCACAAATTCTAAAATTAATAGCTGATTATTTACCAGTTGGAGACATGCGGCAATTTGCAGCTTCTGTAGTGCGGAACACAAAAACTTCGAAAGAAAGTTTAACGTCCTTCATCAAGGTGAAAACACAAACAAGAAAGTTTAACGTCCTTCATCAAGGTGAAAACACAAACATCATCCACTTCCAAATTATTGTCCATTACAAATGCTTGCCAACCTTGCAGGAACCTGGCTTTCGAGTTTTCACATTTGAGTTTAACAGACCAAGTTCCTCCATTCGGACCCTTAAGGATGGCATTACCACCAGCAGACTTCATATGAAGATGTCTCTGGGTAAACTCTGATCGTAAATACTTTGAAAAAATGGAAAACAGGAAATTAGGACGAGAACAAAGTATTTCAGAAAAATATTGGAATAATACACATTAATCTTGTTATTTGCTTCAAAGGATTCTGTATATACAAAATCTTACCAAATAACTTTGAGTGACATACGACGGTTGCATGACAATCCAAAACGAAGGGTTTACAGATTTGGAGCAGAAAGCAATGGCTCTCTCAAGAGCTATAGCTTTTCCACTTGTAGTTGATGATGCTAACAGAGATTTTTTGAAATTTTTCGGGCAGGAGGCAAATTTGTCCAAGAATACAACAGAATCATCATCTGATTCATCTCCCCCTGTGACCAAAACAAAAGTAATGCGTTAAAAGTGTTAACTACATTGTAAAAGATGAAGGATTGATACAGAGGAAGAGGAAGAAGATAGAGAGAAACAAGAGAGATTCTAGAGTGAGAGAGTTTAGAGAGAGAAATAGGATTTGAATTAACTGAGCAAATGAAGATTACACATACTGTTTATATAGAAATCCTAACTACTCTAACCAAATACTAACTACCTAACTATATTACTAACTATATTACATTTTTACCCTTAATACTCCCCCTCAATCTCAACTGGGGAAACTCAGTTTGAGATTGGAAGAATTGAGACATGGTAGCACTGAAACTGTAGATTTAGGAAAACCACCATTGGATTGATACCCAAACATCTGTCCACATGTAGCACTTTGACTAGAGTCAACACTTTGGATTAGCCTGCGCGCACACAGGTTTTTGAAATAACGATCTTTCTGCCATTGATCAACATCACCATCTGACAAAAGGCAACTATTCAAACATCATCACAGTGAATACTACCTTCAAAACCACTTCAACAGCAAGTCATGTAGAAAACATGACACTGAATCAAACCATACAACTTGAAGCAGATGTACGGCCATACGACAGAGAGTAAGCGCGTATACTCAAACCATATCACCAAAGCTTATAGCTTTCCCAGAGCACTGAATCAAACAAGTGTACCCCATGACCTCTTTGAAGCTGTTGACTAAAAACCTCTGTCTGTCTGTCCAAATTTCTTCCACTGCCTTACAAATAAAGACACCTGTATGCCGCTGCCTCTATCAGGAGTTGTACACAAGAACAACCTTCTATAAAGTAGTTGTAGCACACCCTCATGCCGGTATAACACTTCTTACGGGATTACCCTTCGTGGGATTCACCGTCAACAATCTCATTCAACTTGGCTTCGGCCTTTAATATTTACAAAAACAGAAAATTAACAAACTATAGTGTGGCATCGGCCTTAACTATAGCACCACGGGATCGCCCTTTGTGGATTTTACCAAAAAAAACAACTTCTTTGAACAATGGCATCGGCCTTC